ATTAACTAATAATAATAATAATAATTGACTGCTCAAAAATTATATCTATTAAATGTACAAATTACACTCATCAAATTTCTTCAGTTAAGTTTTTTTTTTTTTTATCATTACATTAGTTCATTGGGTTCTTTTACTTCCTTGGGGTCAGGGTATGTAATTGTCTGTCTCGTCACATGCATGCATGTTCTCTTGGGGGTGAATTTCTTTACTGAGGTTTAACAAATTTCAGGCACTCCACAGATCGTGAAGTTGCTCTAATGATGCTGATGGCATACCTTTCCTACATGCTGGCTGAAGTAAGATTTGGAAAACGTCATTTAAGTGTTTTCTTGTAGACTGTCCTCCTTGAGCATTATGTTCATTTAACTTTGGTGCATGTATGACAATGATACATCTGTATCTTCTGTAGTTATGCTATCTGAGTGGTATCCTCACTGTATTCTTCTGTGGGATTGTAATGTCTCATTATACTTGGCATAACGTGACTGAGAGTTCCAGAGTCACTACAAAGTACGCTTTTGAACAAAATTCCTCAAGTTATATGTTCCTGTTTATGAGGTAGTAAAACGCTAGCACCGATCAATTCTAGAAATATCTCACCATATTTGTTCTTCTAATCACAGGCATGCCTTTGCTACCTTGTCGTTTGTTGCCGAGACATTCATCTTCCTTTATGTTGGTATAGATGCCTTGGACATTGAAAAATGGATGTTTGTTAGTGATAGGTGTGTCCATTTTTTCTCTTGGACTACCTTGTATTCATCAAGACTTTGACTTATGTGCTCTCATGAAAGTTTGATGTTTTAATCTGCCTCCACAGATGGTATGATATAGTGAGAATTTTTTCTTTTAGATTTTAGTCTCCTAATTGATTAAATTAAGACGCAGGCAGACATGAGTGGAGCTGACTGGCATGTGCATATGTCTGCACCGCATTCACTTAGTATGCTAGAGGTTATGGCTGCTTCACGGGAATAGCCCATTAATGTCTTTGCTTCAAGTTTTCTGCTTTTGTTTTGGCCATCTCAGCCAAATTTTTAATCTTACTTTTTCTCAAATAAAAGTAATTTTTGGTTTCTTCTGCAGTCCTGGAAAGTCAATAGCAGTGAGCTCAGTGTTGTTGGGTCTAGTACTCACTGGAAGAGCAGCTTTTGTTTTCCCCCTATCCTTCTTGTCCAACTTGGCTAAAAAGTCGCCAACTGAGAGAATCAATTTCAGGCAGCAAGTATGGTTGTATTTCTTTAAGTCAATAAATATTTTATTTCCAGACATTCGTGGACACCAAATTATGCTCACAAGTTTCTTATTCTTTCTTATTCTAGGTGATCATATGGTGGGCTGGTCTGATGAGAGGTTCTGTTTCAATGGCGCTCGCGTATAATCAGGTAGGAGCAACTCTACTAATTAGGGGATATTTTCTGCAAACATTGAATGAATGGTCACTGAAGATAGGATCTTTCATGGAGAAGTTGATGTGTTGACCAATACAATTAAATGCAGTTCACCATGTCGGGCCATACTCAATTGCGATCCCATGCAATGATGATCACTAGCACAATCACAGTTGTGCTCTTCAGCACAGTGGTAAGATATCCTCCTCTTATTTTCATTAATTTGAGTTCATTTTCGAGTTGCTCTTGCCAGTTCTTTGTAGAGGTTGGAAAATGAGCGGGTCTGGCCCTTAAGGGCCTGCCTTGAGCTTGATTTCTTAAAAACTGATCAATTTTTAAAGCTTGGCCTTTATTTGAAGGGCTTAGGACCTAGCCTATAAGCCTTTTTATTTTTTGAAAAAATAAAAAAAATTAATAAAATAAATAAATACAAATATAAATATAGAATCTTAATTAAGTTTTAAAATAAAGATAGAAATTTTCAATTCATACCAACCTTATCAAATTCAATAATTACAAAAAACCTGTGTATTATAAAGTACAATGTTAATCAAAATTAAGAAATAAACCTTACAAAGTAATCATGTTTAATAAATTAATAAAAAATGTCAATATCATGTTAAAATAAATCATAAGAGAATAGACATCAATTATTTTGACAACATAATACTTAAAAAATCATCAATCTTTTGAGGAATAGGGCTTGGAGGACCAACTGGGCTCGAGCCTCTTTTTTTTTTTTTCCAAGGCTAGGCCTAGAAGCTTAGTTGTCCTAAAAAAAAAAAATCACCAATTTTTCAAGTTCGAATCCTTATCTAAATCAAGCCTTCAAGCCCGGCTTTTCAGGTCCAGCCTTTATTTTCAACTCTAATTCTTTGTTAACCAGAATTCAGTTCTTCTATGAGTCAGATATGCGGATTACTAAACTAAATTTCCGGGGAGATAGTACTGATGTTGTTGAATACCAATCCCTCAGGTCTTTGGTTTAATGACTAAGCCACTCATAAGGTATTTGCTGCCTAATGTTAAACACACAAGCAGCGTGGTCACAACGGAATCATCAACTCCAAAATCTTTTACCGTGCCACTTCTTGGGACTTCCCAAGATTCCGAAACTGATATTGATGGAAATTCAATTATTCGTCCAAGTAGCATTCGTTTATTACTCACCACTCCAACACACACGGTTCATTGCTACTGGCGTAAGTTTGATGACGCATTCATGCGCCCAGTTTTTGGAGGCAGGGGTTTTGTTCCTGTGGAGCCTGGCTCGCCTACTGAACGAAACGGTCATCAGTGGCAATGAGAATAAAGCCAGGTAACGTGTAAAATATATCGTGTGCTGTGTAAATTTTGTGGAGATCATATTATTGCTTGTATTGAATTAATTTTTTAAGCGCCTTTGTGTAGAGTTAAGGTTATGTAACCATACGCAACACTCCTTGAAAAGCCAGAATATTGTAAAAATCAGATTCTCTGGCACACTGTGGTCATAGCATTGCATTCAATTTTTGGAGTCGAAATGAAATGAGTTTTTTCCTGTCAAAATCAACATAGCACTAGCTGCTGCTGCATTCGCTGAGTCGATTGTGTGGGGGGCATGCTTCCGGTGAGAGAATAATGAGGACTAAGATAGTGCTCCTGATTAACGCGAAAACACAAGCAGGAATAGGCTCTTGTCCCGGCTAAACAAAAATAACATAGAAGATGCAACCCCGCCCCCCACCCAAAAAACCTTGCAGATAATTGAGGAAAAACAAACATTCACCTAAATCCAAGGGTTTAGAAGCAGAAAAGCCATTCCCAAGTGAAACCAGCAATCAAATGTCATCTTCCATGGATTCGAAAAAACGAAAGGTCCAGAGTTTTGAGCGGGATAAGGGTAATGAACTACTACCTCTCATTCAAAGTCAATCGGTCTCGCTCTGGTGAAATTGAGGGGGCCAGTAGCAGCAACATAGCGATAAAGGGATGAACGCGCTTCTCTTTTTAACAGGTTGGAAAGGGAATACTTGGATGAGACCTATCAAAATTCCATTCGGACTCTCTCTCCAAAGCTTGATTAAATTATAAATAATTTTTGATTAAAGCTGGTAATTCAGGCGGGTCAAACTTATTCGAGCCGGACTTAAAACATCTTATCCCTTCTAAAAAGCCCATATAGTCAAATTCGACTCTTAACACCTTTGGGTTTCGGGCTTATTCAGGCCAAAGAAAAAATATTTTTTCTTTATCTTTTAAACCAATTTTAATTTTTAAATAATTATATTAAGCGTAAAATATTATTTTAATTTTAAAAGAATAAAATAAAAAATAACTTATCAACTTCATATTTAAGTAGCTCTATTATTATTTTGTTGTATTATGTATAATTTATTTATGAATGTTTCCTTTTCTTGTAAATTAATGTCTTAGTTGTTTAAATATTACTCTTATCATAATCATATATAAATATTTTATATTTTTTAATTAAATTATATTATTTTAATTATGATTAAGTTGATCTCAATTCAATCACAGTTAAACTACTAACTTAAATCATTATCTCGATTAGTTCAAAATTTTTAATAACTTTCAAGTAAATTATACTTTTCATTTTTATGAATATAAAAAAAATTGCCATCATTATATTATATAAAAAAATTATTTAATTATGAGTAAAATATTATTTTTTTTAAAATTATTTTTTTAACTTTTTATATTGTTTAACTCTTACATAAAAAGGATTATTACTCTAGTTTACTCTTAATTTTTAACCAAATCTAGTATGAATAATAATCAAATAATTATTCAAGAATATTATTTTATTTATTATGTTTATCTAGTAATAGAGTCGAAAATTCGTACATGCCTAAATTTTATTTTTAAAATTATTTTTAAAATTATTTTTACTTTAAAATTAATTATCTTAATTTATAAAAAATATAAAATTATTTTTTATATGCAAATGATTGATAAGACTCAAAATTTTTTTTAACAAAAATTAGGTTTTAAAATATTAAAATCAATATTAAAATATATTTTAAATATTATTTTAAGATACGTTATTGATTAAAAAAATGAAAATATGAAATATAACTATTTTTAATTTTTTTAAAAAAATAACTACCTTAAAATACTTAATTATATAATATTTTGATGTAAAATGATATAAAACTTAAAAAATTACTTATTATTTATTAAATTTTATATTTTAAAAAAAAAAATTTTATTCGGGTATTCGGGCCAAACCCAAACCCGATCGGGCTTGGCCTGAATTTTCTCATGCCTATTCAGGCCACCCGAATAGGCCCAAACAAAAAAAAATAATATTTTTTCGGGTTTCGTCCTAAATTTTTCGGGCAAGTTTGGACTCAGCCCAAATCACTGACTCTACTTTTGATGCATAAAGCTTTGATACACACACAGAACATGCACCAAACAAGTGATAATTTTGTAGCGTAGTTATACCATTAAACGCAAAGCAATATACCGACTAAATCCTAAAAGGCTCGCCAGAATCTTCTAGTACTTTAACTCCTATGATTCTAACTACTCAACCAGTGTTGATGTTTAGTAATATTCAGATATTCGACAAAAAAGAATCTGATTTAAACTAATTACAAAAAGTGGCTTAATTTTCAAGATCATATTGCTCAACGATAAAACAAAAATATAATATCGAACCACACAGAATCCCGATAATCCAGTCAAAAGACTGAATGCCATAAAAGCACTGGAGTGCTACATATATAGCTATCGGAGAAGAACAAAATAAACACTCAGGATTACAGATAACAAAATGAGACAGGTTACAGTTTATTCCAAGGCGTTCACAATCTTCTCCATGTGATCGCGCATATATTCAACTTCACGTCACTGAGGTTTGAGATTGCGGTGATTCATCCTTGCAAACCAATAATACCTGAATGAACAATGCCAAAAAGTTTGAGCACTACAGTCAAATATGAGCAGACACACAAAAATAGCCTGGAGATATTGCACTGGAGCTTCCCAAGAGACAATAACGGGGAGGGAAGTGCAAAGTATAAAACAGTATATTTGCATCTGAAATTAGATGAAAAAGGTTGTGACCATTCATCTGGTACTGGTAAATTCTTTAGAGATCTTTAAAACAACTTTGCCTTGTAGCATCGCAACCATTGAGAAAAAATCAGCTGATGGTGCTTACCACAAGCCACTCTGCCACCAGCATTTCCAGTAGTTTTACTAAGCTCGTGACCACCTAGATATAAGAGCATAGAGTGTTAACATCTGGGAAGCTAAAAGGGAAAAGTGAAAAAAGAAAAAAAAGAGAGGTGGGGGGGGGAAGAAACTTTCGAGTCAAACAAACCAGGGATGATGTGCACCATGAAAAAATCGTGACAATACAATAAAAATTTATGCAGAGAATGCAAGTAGTATAAACACAGGTGATCAATCAATGAGTAGGCCAGCCAAGGGCACTGTTGGATAATAGTGTAGTACTAAGCCATATGTAAATGGCATAACAGAAACCCTGCAAAACTCCTAAACTGTGTAAAATAAGAATATACGATACCACATATTACAACATTAACTTCAATGCAACGTCATTTTCCTCCAAAACGCCAAAGAAGCTCATGTGATGGCAGCACAAACAACAAACTTTTTGGTTCAGAGATGTATACATATTTTACATCCTAAATCAGAAGACAAGCAGCAATTGACCTCTCCTCTTTGAATTTTTGGGGGGGGGGGGGAAGATGTGGTACTTCAGCAAATAACTGGTTACAAATGGCTCACAAAAGTTGTAAGAAGTCATCCATGTAATTTACAAGCACCTTTCCCCAGATCATCAGGATCCCCATGAACAACAACGGCCCGTCCAATGATGGAGTTTGGTCCACTGAGAGGAATCTGCAGCATTAAGTAACTTAAGAATTACGAAGTTAAGGTTTTAGGGTCATTCATCCAGAAGAAATCACTATAAGAGCTGAATAACAAACCTGATTGTCAGTAATATTGAAGCTAACAGTTCCTGAATCATAGAGCAGGATTGACTCCAAGTCAAGGATTAAAAAGGCACAAATTATAATAAGCAAAGCAAAAAAATATAGTTCAAAATAAACCATCACCAGAACAAAGCCATACCATCATCACCAACATTAACATTCCCTAGATCACCAGCATGACGGTTCTCATCTTCAGGTGCACCGTGCTCCTTGCCAGCAGGGTTAAAATGTGGGCCTGTTAAAATAATCAAAAGATTTAGCGATATTATTGCAACTTTGCAAGACAGTGTTCGAATTTTAATCCTCATAGGAAACTACATCTCTAGGCTCAAGCATTTGGAGGGCATAAAGGCCAACAACAAAATTAAATCTTTTAAACTAGGAAAAGCATGCTGTCCATTTCAATTTACTGATTTATTATGGTAAACTGAAAATGACTCTTTCATATGGATCAGTATTGCTGAGGCATAAGAAAAAAGGTGCTAGCTAATAGTCAGTAGACTATACCAGTTGACAGGCAACCATTTGTGGTGTCACCAAGGGCATGAACATGGAAGCCATGGAGGCCAGGCTTAAGGCCAGCAAGATTTCCTGTTACAGTTGTTGGCCCTGAAAATTCAAAATACAAGGTATGTGACAGATGCGAGGAAAACAAAATGCATCCTTCAAAAGGATTGAGAGCAACCAAAACTTGCCATCTCCTTCCTGATTGAAGTAGATAGTTCCAGTGACACCCTCACTGCTTTTAAGAACTGCAACAGCCTTCACCATTTTCTAATGTGACCTGAACACGAACACCTTTTAGAATATGTGCACAAGACAGAATATGCAAACTCGATGAAAGCACAAGATATTAATACTACATGGCAATCTACGAAGAGAACAAAAAACAAAAGAATACACAAAATCTTCTATATTTTTATCCCATCATATTTCGTCCAATTACAGCAATGAAAACTAACTCCCAAGCAACACTAATTTCTTGTCATACAGCATTGTGCAATATGAATCTAACAATTTCCTTAAGAGCCAAAGAATGCAGCTGTAAATAGAAACTCGCGCTAATTACGAATAAGAGAAGAAGATAGTCGCTGCACTGTACGAGCTGAATGATGATAGTTTCAACTAACCAGCTGGATGTCTAATAGAACAGTCCGATGATCACTCCAAACTAAAACTGAAGGTAACACTTCCATAAGATCAAACAGGAGGAGAAAGAACACAGACGAAAAGTAAAACTTAAATTCGTGAGTTGAAGCTTCTTCTCTTTTTCTTGATAAAGAAATATCCTTCAACAGCTTACTAGTGTCATAGACGCGATCCTTGACTCATTTCTAATCACATAAAAACAGAGAATTGATGCTAACGTTATTCGTGATTTCTGAAATTGAGCTAGAAAGAAGGACGCAGGAATTTTTTTTGCTTCGTATTTTCTTTTCTTGATAATCACATTAACACATCGCAAACAAAATCGCCACGGCCTAACAAGATTGATATACAGGAACAGGCATTCGCCAGATAATCGGATGTTCAAAGCAAAAATCGAAGTAACGGAAGACGCAGTGGACCTTTTAATCTTTCTTCTTCGGAATCTAGAACAAACTTACCTCAGTGCACCCCTCGGAACAAGAGCAGGGAAAGGAACAATCTGGAATTAGCGCCAATGGTCAAGTCCTCGTAGTTGTGTTTGCTTTAACCTTTGCAAATTATAACAACCTCCTTACCTACCCGGTTGCCACCAAACCCGCCAGCTACCGGGTTGGAATGGTGACAGGCTTCGATGGGGACCGTGGTGCTCCGCACAAAACGCTGCGTTTTACAGTGTTTAATTTTTTTAAAATCACAAAATTATTATTTTTATTTTTATTATTATTATTATAATGAAATTTTTATTTTAATATTTAATAAATAAATAAATTTAACTTCTTAAAATTTGACCTAAACGGTTTTGATAAAAATTTTGGTCTGAACAAGTCAAAAATGTACTGAAAAAATTACAAAAAAAAAATGATATGAAGAGTTTAAAATAGAGGTTGAGTTTAGCAAAATAAACTTAATTTGTTACAACTTAAAAAAATGTTAAATTCTTGTTAAAAAATACTTATGTTTAATACCTGTTAAAATAATATTTATTTATTTATTATTATTATTAGTTTGTGATTTTAAAAAACAAAAGAAAAAAAAATTAACATTGCAAAATGCAGTGTTTTGGTGCTGAGCACCAAAACTAAATCCAATGTTAACATTGTCTAATTATATACTACTTCTCACAAAATTTGAGAGCTTTTTACTTTTTAAAATTTTTTAACATATGATAAAATCATAAAAATTAGAGTAATTGATATTTTTTTTTAATTTTATTGTGCTTAATATTCTTTGTCAAAGGATTCATAAGTAAGTAATTACAATTTTCTCTCTATAAATTTTTTAATGCCAAGAGTCAAGTAATGCAAATATTAATGATTACTTTTATTTTATTTTTCTTCTGGTAAGGATTGAAATGGATATCAAATGACTAGCTATTCTATTTTTAATCACTAAGGTTCAAATATTGTAAATATAAATATTTTTTATTTAAATAATGTATATTTTTATTCAAACAATAACTAGAATGGGATAGTAAATAACAAGTTTTACCTTCTAAAATTTTTAATCACCCGAGCGTAAGTTAGTTTTTATATATATATATATATATAATGGAGCGTATAGAATGCGCGTATAAAATAAAAGATAAGATTAGTTGACGATGACAAAGATACCATAATTAATCTTGATTGATAGATAGGTATAAGGGTTAAAGGTTATTTTTATCTCCCAACTCATCCCAAAAACACACTGAACATCTTAAATTTAATTATGAGTTAATTTTATTACTGAATATATGAAATTTGTTAGCTCGATATTTCTGCTATTAAATTGTCTAACTTAAGGCCCACTATTTTTATTTTTATAGCAACACGTTAATTGTGGGCCCACATTTTATTTTATTTTTAATGTCTTTTTCCTTCTCCCTCTCCCCTCTTTTTCTCCTTGAAAAATAAAAATTGCATGTAGATCCGCTTTACACGGCATAGCCAAACTAAGTCACTCATGATAGATCATTTAATTGCTATGATTAACCTAGCCTGAGTTTACTCAATGAAACTAACCCTATTTTTTCCTCTCTTCTTTTTCATTTTTTTTAAACAAACAAATAAAGAAAGAACACTTAGTGTGCCCTTGAAACTGACTTCTTTTTTCCTTGAAGGGATGGCTCTTAACTTTTTCACATAGCTACAACAATGAAGAGGTCTTCTTCTTTACAGCAGCCACCATCAAAAGCTCCTCTTTCTATATCATCAGCATTCCTTAAGTTGGTACAATTCATGTATGCTTCATTACTCAAGCCAGGACTTGAACCCTATAGTCCCTGCTATGAATTTGAGAGATGCCAATACTATAGCTAGCTTTGAACAAGATCAACTTGACTACACCTCGCACAATGCACTCTTGATGACATGGTTGATGAGCTCTCTTGTCTCAGGTCTACTGACCATGCAATCCATGCCATACTCCTTTGGTCTCTTCTTTGCGCTCTCATCCATGGCCCCCACAACCATGCAATCCATGTTGTAAATGCGGAAAGTTTAGTCACTGTACTCATCAGGTTGGATTGTAGACTGCAAAATGATGAAGGCAAATAGTAGTTAGGTTCCATATCATGCACACCTATAAGAAAGAAGGAAAGAGGAGGAAGTATACCGTGATACGACAGTGTTCAACGCTAATGGCAAGAACAAAAGCAATGAGGCAGAGGAAGGCAACTGACACTACTATCGAACAACACCGAAATTAATAAAAAATATATTTTATAGTAAAGTACAACATAGATCATCTATCAAAGTCAATGGATTAAATTCTTGAATTGGAATTATGAAAAAGTAAATAGTGGAGTTTTTTTAATGACAAAATTAATTTTAAAAAACTAAAATTAAATTAAATAATTAAAGCAAATTCAACCGAGAAAATCACTATGTACATGCAGTGGAATTAATCATAATCTAATCACCTAAACTTGATATTTCTCATCCACAAAATAAATTAAATTTATTTAACTTTATTATCATGGTTTTATTATATATTTCCTAAATTATCATTTAAATAGTAAACAATAAATTAAGTTATAGATTAATTAAAATCTTTCTTAACTCACAATTTAACAACTATTTTATATTAGTCACACAAAAAATAAGGCATGAGTAATTATTCAAGCAAAGTCAAATTGCTCTCATGTTACCATATTAATTGATTATAGCAAGCAAGACTTTAGATAAAATATATAATTAAAAAGGTATACAATAAAGTTATTCTAATCAACGATAACAATTAGAGAAAATGACAGAGAGGCTTTAAAAGAATCAATTAATTTAAGTTAGATCCTAAGTGTTAAATTTTAAAAAGTTGCGATTCAATTTTTTAATTTTATAATTTTATTGTGATAAATTTATAACTTCTATTTTAAATTTTAACAGAAAAAATAATTTTTTTATTTTTTAATCATATTAAATTTTGAAAAATAAATTATAAATTCATCACAACACAATTGAAAAATTAAGAGATTGAGTTGTAAATTTTTAAAATTTGGCACTTGAGATTTAAATTAAATTAATTGATCCTTTTAGAATCTATTTATCATTCTCTCTAACAATTAAAGCATAAAATTTAAAAAATAGAGAGAAAAAGAATAAATTATAATAAAGCTAAAATAAAATATTTTTTAAATATTAAAAGCTTTTATTAAAGTTTAAAATTATAGTTTGTAATTAATCGTATCAAAAAATTAGCTCTTCATAGTAATAAAAATCAACCAACACAACGCTCAAGAAATTGAAGGAAAGATGATGAATAACGACCGCTACTGCTCCTGCGTTCCTTCTTTTCTTCCCCCAAAAGTGTGGCGTATGTACCCTTTTTCCCTTCAATTATGTGTGATTTATGCGTCTGATAAAACCTTGCAATTTAATGAAATTAACAAAACTTTCCTTCATAATCCTAATTAAAAAGTATATTTCCAAAATAAATATAAATAAAATTTATAAAATTTAATTCTTAATTTAATCTTCAAGTAAACTTATATTCTTCAATTCAAAATAATCGCCATCAATATTTTTTAAATTAGGTTCAGAAAATGTACACAAATAAAATAAAATTAAATAGAAAATATGCAAAAAATATCAAAGAGATTATTTATATTTTAAAATTCAAGATTTAAGTAGTTAAAATTTTAAAGTTAAAAATTTGCTAATAAAATTAAATAATATTTAATTAGACTTAATTAGCCTCAAAAAGACATTTAAAAGTTTAAATTAAAAAAATAAAAATATATAAAATTATTATTTATCAACGATGATGGTGGCCAGAATTTTGGAACAGAAACAACCATGATCTCCTCTCGCGCTATATATTTGCTTCTTTGCTCTCTCAATCCCTTCCTCTTCACTATACGGTGTGTCAATGTTGCTACTAAAGTGATGCTCATTAGGGATCCTATGTGAGAATATAGGAGAGAGAAGGAGTGTAACATCTTAATTTTTAAATAATAAATTAATTGTAAAATTTAATTTTTATTAAGAATTAAAATAATATTATTTTGAAGTTTAAATTAGGGGATGAATTTGTACTTGAAGTTATTTAAAATTAATAATATAATTAAATATTTAATTATTAATTAAATTGGATCTAAAGTCATGTAAGAGATGTTTAATAGTTTAGCATTGGCTATAATTTAAAGATAAGAACAATAAAAAATAATATAAATAAAATATAAAAGAAATAATAAATGAAATATATAATAAAAGAAGAAGAAGGAGAACTTACGCTGGGCCTGGGAGAGAGAATCAAAAAGTGAGATGCCGAAAAAACAACAATGTGGGACCCACCCATGATATTTTGTTTTTGACCAAAGACCCATGATTTAAATGCGCAAATGGCCAAACACTCCTCAGTCACTGTGCGGCGGTCGTCTTCTTGTCTCTTCCTCGAGTTCGCGTCCGCCATTATTTTAGGTAAGTATTCCAGCTTATAGATTATTTACATAATTAAAATCACTCCCAATTCCAAAACTCTCTTCACGGAAACTATCTTAAGAGCTTTCTAATGGTATAAATATTGAGGGTGGCAGAGCATATTTAAGGATTAGGACTTTTTTATATGATAGTTAATATGAAGTTATGATAATTTTAAAATGAATGTTGAGATTGTTAAGAATATAATAAATGCTGTAAACTATTTTTCTAAGATTAGAATTCAAATTTAAAATTTTTTGAGTTAAATGCTATATTTATATGGTTCAATTTATGTTAAATATAAGATGTTAGGATGAATTTCTGATTATTAAATGTTTATTTGAGTATAAATAGATATTCCTAAGGCTGTGGAATGATGAATTGGGGCTTGAAAATAATTTTTAAATTTTCAATTTATTTTTAGATGAATTGTTGGAATATAGATTGAAATTATGATAGTAGAAGTGATTTGAGATTTAGATATAGTTTATTAGGGTATGAAAATTCTAGAAAGGAATTTTGAAAAGCTAAATGAAGCACTAACCTTGAACTAGTGTTAATATGGGTCTTAAACTTAAAAATTTTTAACTTTTTAAATTAAAGTTATTTATTAATTTTAATGTCAAATTAATATATAGTAATATAAAATAATTGTGTAAATTATATTGACAGAGAGAATGGCGAAAGGAAACTTGTTGTCCAAGAATCAACAATTGTTAATATGTTGTGATGGGTATGTGTGTAATTGGTTATGTGTTATTGTTTGAAAAATTATAATTTATTTACAAATAAATACTTGAATATAATTGTTCAAAATTATTGCCAAACAGGTTAAAATTTATATATATATATATTATAATGAGATATTATTGTTCGGTTATTTAAATTATGCATGATTTATCATAGTATTTTAATATATAGTGTTGTTGGAAATTTTTGTTTGGTTAATCATTACCACGTGGTAAGCTCTCATTGAACTTAATGCATGGCGTGCAGCTTGGTCCGACTCACATTTGACTGGGTGATTTGGCATCAGGGCACGACGAAAGAAAGATATAAGATGTAGTTATACAATTAAATACTTGTTTGATTTATTTAAAAATATTGTTTGATTAAATATTTTTGTATATTTACTCAGTAATCACATAATTAGTTGCATCCACATGCATCATTACATATTACTTTTTTATTACTGGGACTTTTAAATCTCATTCCCTGTGGTTAATATTTTTTTAAAAGCGTGTTTATCCAATAAAGCACCAGAGGCGTAAATTTTGGTGTAAAGACACCACTTTCTAACTGCCTCTTATTTTGATTTATGCAATGTATAATGTCAATTTATGACATATATTATTTTGTTGGGTATATAGTATTTAATCTTCAATTTGACACATCTACATGGTCAAAAGGATTCTATCTATCCCTTTTGATTTTTTGATTTGATTTGAAGGTTATGTTACGAGGAATTTGTATGTTCCTCAAGGCCTTCGATGCAAAATTATGCTTGATTATGAGGATTTTGTTTGTCTCTCATGATTCTAATTGCTTTTTGGGTATTATTGATATAACTAAATTCACTTGTAGGTTTTGATTACTTAGTGAATGTATGTTTATACTGCGGACAATTGCACATCCTTTGACTCATTTTAATGGTGAACAAGTGTTGAACTATGGTGAATCTTGTGTGAGCCAACTTTGAGTATTACTAAGTATACTATTGCTTAAAAGATATTGTTAAAAAAAAAATACATGGTAATTATTATGACGTACACTTAGGTCACATAGTCACACCAAAAACTTATTTTTATTAATTGTTTGGGATCTTGTCACCATAGGATAGAATCTGATTTCAAAACTATTTTCCTTGATGTGAATAGTTTCACATTGTCTTCCATTAAGAAAATTTTTATTTTAATAGTATTTTAATTATTATGGTAGATCTTATTCATTATGTTAAATCCTTTTTACTATGACAAGCTATTTGTAAAATGCTTTATTTATATGATAAGTTCTTTTCTACCATGATAAAGTTAAAAAAAAAGTTTTGTTAGTTATTACCATTGTAGACCTTTTTTTAATATGATAAGGGTTTAATGATGTAAAAAATAGTTTATTAAACTTATAATTTATGAAAAATCGGTTCAGAAAGTTAGAATGTTATAAGGAGTATGGACTCAGCGATCAACAAGTTGGCGAGCAAGGAGTGAGAAGTGAAGAACAAACAAGGAGCCTTCAACCATAGCTTTTTTGAACATAATAGAAGATGATGAGCATGTGAGGAGAGAGGGAGATGGGAGACAGAGAGAGAAAGTGAGGAAGAAAAGAGAAGGAGATGGAGGGAGACCAAGAACCCCTTCTTTTTTCCCCTCATCCTATTCCCTACGCCTTCCCCAATTCTACTCTTCATTAATCATATAATTAAAAATTATTTAATAAAATGATATAAATGATGAGACTGGGAAAAGTGGAGGGAATAAAAAAGGAGAGACCTCTAGTCTAAGGGAGGGGACATGTGTATGAAATTGGGGAGACGGTTCCTTCCTCTTCCTTTCCCTCTTCTTTCCCTCCTCTCATTAATTTCTAACCATTATACCAAGATTATTGGATGGTAAAGGTTGATTTCTTATACTATTTGAAAATATAAAATATTTATAACCAAATCCTCACCTTAATTAAAATAGTTATATACTTTTAAACTAATCTTATCTTTTTATATTTACTCCTATTAAATACCTTATAATAAATATAAAGTCATTCATTAATAGGAGCATTTAAAAAAAGCAATGATTATACCTTAAAAAATTAAAAATGCCTTATATTTTTAACATATAACTCTTAAAAAAATGTCTTATATTTTTGAACAGAGGGAGTAAAATATTTCATTTTATTTATTTTTACCATTTTTTAATTGTTCATATTAAAATTTTAGTATTTTAAATTTTATTATTTATAATTTTTAGAAAGAATTACAACCAGATCCTACACAGAAAAATTAATTACTGCAAAATCTATTGACAATTGAATTAAATAATTAATTATCAATATAATTTAGTTCAATTATTAATGGATCTTGCAATAATTAATTTTTTTATATAGGACTTCAATATAATTCTCCTTAATTTTTATAATTTAATATTTTAATAATAATTTTACAAGATTTTAAATCTAAATCATTTAAATCTTGATATAATAATTAAAAAAGGGGGAGGATGGGAAAGAAAAGGGAAGAATCCTCCTCCATAGAAGAGAGATAATGAATATTGTATAATAAAAATATTTTAAAAATAATAACCACTAACTGAAAATGAGCAACTTGTTAACTGTGAGGTGATGAGTGGAAAAATCTTATACGTTTGATGAGGTGATAATGAATTTTGATAAAGAAAAATAGATACAGAAAATCAGAAATGAAGATGAAAGTGAAAATTGAAAAATTAAAAACACGTTTTGATATTTCCATTAAAATTAATTTAATTTTTAATCAATATATGTTTAAATTTAAATTATGTAAATACCAAAATACCCTCAAATTTTTTTTTTTTAAAAAAACCCACCCCACAAGAATCGAACACCAGCAAAGTCCCGTTTCATTTCTGGATCAGGATCTCAACGATATGGCATAATCAACAAACCAGAAATAATATACAACAATCAACAGATTGTGTTTTAAATCTTATTGTGTCGTAATTTTTTTCCCCCGAGCCCCCTTTTCCCTATTTCCGTTCAATCGAATTTGGATTAGGGTTTCTAGTATGATTTCAATCAAACTGATTTCCTTGTAATCTCTGGGCGAGTTTTTAGAAAAATGTTTGCAGAGACCGTGATAACGCTAGCCTCAAACTTTAATTCACAATCAGATGCCTCCGACCCCAGATTTTATGATTGGCTTCTGGTGTGTCATGGCTTCTGGCACAATGCGGCTTTGATCACTGCCTCGCTTCTTTTTGCCTTTTACCTGGCAACCCAATCCAAGAAGAGCTTCTTGAGGTTTTCACATGGTCGCTCTAAAATTATAATATCATACTATGGATGCCTTTGGCTTGTTAGCATCCTCAATCTGTTTTGGTGTCTTTTCCAGGTTCGTTCTTGTAATTTAATGTCCGCATGGTCTGCCCGTTATTTGGTTTCTTGTGAGTTGTGAAGGTTTACTTGAATAATTGATATCCATACTAAACATTGGGCCATACAAGTTTCGGTGTAAGTTCGCTGGAATATATGCGAGGCGATCATAATTATGTTCATTTTAATCTGGACAACATTTTCATGGAACTGATGTCTATATGTTGCTAGGCTTTTATGCTGCACATAAGCGTTAACACCGAACACCATCCTTTTACTTGTTTAACCCATTGCAACCTTTATAAAAGAAGTTTGTCTGTCAGTATAAAGCTTCTCCCTGCTTTTTTCTAATGAATGCATGCGCATTTGGCTAGTGTTCTATGTATTTTTCCTCTCTCTGCTCAGTCTTTCTAAAATAGGGGTGATGAAAGCAATTTGGAAATTCACGTCCTTCATAGCAAAAATTATTGCAAAGAACTGTTCTCTAAATGTCTATATAGACTGCATCAATACTTCTGTATGATATAGTAGTGATTTATTTGTTTCGCTGTTTCAGCAATTTGATCAATTTCTTGTCAGCATATAACTTTGTCAAACGAATCTATATTAGGTTATTCTTTGTTGCCGTCATGTTCTGTCGTGTGTTTACATCACTTTAGTCGATATAAAGACGCTCTTTTAGTTCATTTATTGTGGTGAATCCTACATATGGCTGACCTAAAGTTGTAATGCTGCATTTTAGTATACTAGTATCTGTTCTGTCATGACTCTGTTGTTGACTCAGGCATGGGAGTGCACTCCTGGGAAAGAATTGGCTTGGAACCTACTATCATTGTTTACTACATCTGGAATGCTGTTTCTGGAAGTAAGCTTGTTGGCTTTTTTACTTCAGGGAAATATAGCAAGTGACCCGGAGGCATTGACCTGGACTTTTGGTATCTCTGGGGTTATCGTTGGCTTGGATATATCATTGAAGGTTCTTATTTGATATTCACTATATTTTCCTTGTGGTTCTTTTGGTTATGTTCAAAATGTGATCGGCACTAGAAGGAAAATGAAAGCCTTTCTTTTTAACAGTGCATTGTGGGAGTAAACTTGTATTTTTTTTTTTTTCGGTAGTAAATACGCATGTGAAAGGGTTTTGCATTTCTATCTACTTTGCCACAAAAAAGGAAAGAGATTGTTGGTTCCATCATTTAGTAGATGAATTGTTTTTGTCTGTGTTTAGGCTATATATCTGTTTGGATTTGGGATCCCATTATTCATCGACAGCAGTGAAAATAGCCATCATGTGAAGTGGAACTTGTGGGTTGTCCACAAGCTGTTGCTCACTGCCGTTTATGGCTTCATATTGTTTATGTACCATACCAGCTGGAGAGAAAGGTTGCCTGGTGAGTAACTTTTATGGGTCAGCATATCATTTCTTTCTATAATGTTTCATGATTGATAAATTTATTACCTTCAGCCAGGCCTGCGTTTTACAAGTATATTACGACCATGTTCATCTTGAATGCAATTGCTCTCTTTTCTTGTGGCCTCATGGGAAATGGCGCTGCTTGTGGTTTCTGGTTAGTGTCTTTCTATGGCATATTTCAAAGCCTTGTTTTTTTACGGCGGCATCTTTTTCTGAGACTTTACGTTTGCTTGTTTTCACAGGCTCTATATTGCCACTGTTGTCTGTTACCATGCTTTTTATCTTCCTCTGCTGTATATAACATTTCTGGCAGACTTTTTCCAGGTTATAATGCCCTTTGCTTGATCCTCTGACTATGGATTTTATGTTCAAACCTTAGTCATGTTTATGGTGACGGATAGCCTTGTTTGGTGCTGACTGATTGTTATAACTTGTCTTAAATGATAGGAGGAAGATATGCATTTTGAGAACGTGTATTACTCTGAGATGAAAGATGCTGGTTTCTTCGGTGCTGATTGGGAGTGATGTGATATAGAGAATGTTATGAGCTTGATATCTAATTGCCGGGCATCTGGTTCACAAAAACTTGTAGATAAAGGTATCTGGTGTCTTGTATCGCATCATCATTTGGAAAAGAATGTCGCTTGACAGGATAACCCTGAGAAAACCGGATATCTTAATTTTAACACAAAATGCTGAAAAGCAAATGAAAGAGCCCAGGGTAACAGAGTTTACATACCCGTTCATGTTCAATACTTCATCACAAGAAGCAAACGGTTACCAATCAATTGTCAAGGCTCTTGATAGCGTATAAAAGTCAGGAGATGAGAATTGAGGACCATCCCATATGACATATCTGCATTTTGTGAGGAATATTAAGTTGCAGAGGACCGTATCAGGCGAATCAGCTCCAAAAGCTGCAAAATCGGACTCTACTGTAACATTAGTATCATTTGGAAGGGCCAGATGCTTCTGTACTGTTCAGCAAACCTCATATATCGTCTCCGATTTGGCAGCCTGCTCAAGACGTTCGGCATATGCATGAAAGCAACACGACCCTAAACAAAACGAAGGAAAGAATCCCTCACGCTTGAGAGGTATCCATTTAAGGAGAGGGAGATAAAGTATTCGGTTACTTGGTAATTCTGAAGTTGACTGATGCCACGAAGTAATTATTATTGTGCGTATCGTCTATCTCACCTGTCTTCATGTTTCCAGGATTAAAACATTCGATAAGTAGACATATTAACGAAATTTTGTAAAGGTCAGACGCCTTCTCTGCCTATCATCTGCACAAAACCAGGGCTTATCGAGACAACGGCCAAAATTTAATTGGCTAGCAAAGAAAAGCTAAGATGTGAACTATCACCTTACGAGTTATTAGTTAAAAATACCATTATATCTTTCACATCACTATCTGTGTCAGGTGTCAACTGATAATTCTCTCCGCTTGAAAGTTGAAACTTGCAGACCTGGCGAAATGCGTATCACGCGAGAAAATGTGTGTCGTGTAATGTTGTTTTTGAGTCGCGCTGTTCAAAATGAGTTGTCAGGCATTGAGGCGGGCAGATTCATAGCGATTATGAATTGAACATTCTGAGAAAAAAAAATTTCCTTGAAAAAGATTGAGGTAAAAATTGCAGCTGGAGGATCTGCGGGCATTTTTTTTTTTTACTTGCCTTTGGAAAAATGCATTCTCAGCATGATCATGTCTCTTAAGAAGTACTCCCTCCAACCTCTAGGTCCCTTCTAGAAATATTTTTTTTTTGGTTCTTAATATAAAGAACATTATGGGGTATTAATTATATTTTTTTAAAATATTATCCTTATTAACTGAGAGAGAATGTAATGAAATTAAAAATTTTAAAAATTTTCATAAAAAGAATAAAGTTGAAAGTTTATTATATTTTCAAAGTTAGCATCTTCTTGATTTCGGTGACATATAATAGGAATCAGGAATATAATTTATTAACTTATAATGGGTATAGTTTAGAGAAGCAACTTCTGAGAAGATAATATATGGTTTGCTTACTTAAATTTCTATTTTTCAAGAATTTAAAATTAATTTTTAAGTAAAAATATTATTTTTAGTATCAAAGACATAAATGTTTGTCTATTAATTAAAAAATAGAGTTGAAAATGGTAAGTTTTGAAAAATAATACTCCCTCCGTTAAAAAATATCAAGCATTTTTTGAGAGTTTATATGTTAAAAAATATAAGACATTTTTAGTTTTTAAAATATAATAATTGTCTTTTTTTTAAGTGTTCCTATTAAATAAATCACTTTATATTTACTTTAGAGTGAAATACTTTATTAAATAGGAATAAATATGAAAAGATAATATTAGTTTAAAGATAAATAACTATTTTATTAAGGATGATATTCGGTTAAAAATGTTTTTACGTTTTTTAAAGGAGGGAATAAAAAATAAGATAGTAAAATTTGGATAAAATCTACCTGGTCATGGTAAATAATGAAGTTTGGAGACCAAATTTCTAAAAATTTATATATTTTAATAAATCAAACAATAATAATTTTATTGTTTTTCAAGAAGCTCAACTTTTTCCTAAGCCACCTCATCCAACCAATATAAGTCACTCTTGAAGTTTTTTTTTTTCCTACTTGCATATGAAACTCATTTTTATATTTATTTTTATTCTAGATCATAATAAAAGTTTTTGTTAATTAATTTATATTTCATTAAAAATGATTGGTTAAAACTTAAAATTTTAATTTTAAAAGAATGTTCACACCTTTTCAATCATACTTTTTTATTATAATAAATATAATATTTAATTTATTTAAAATATTTTAATTATTTATTTAATAAAAAAAGACGTAGTTAAAAAATATATAATACCTGCCAAACGCCTGTTGAACCAAGTAAAATTTCTGAGGGGAAAAAAAAAACGACCTCCTGTACTGTACTTAGAAAAGAGGATTTCTTTTTTCACCTCCGAAGTCAAGCAAGCAGCAGCCAGCACAGAAGCTACTTACTCTGAAGCGAATTTGAATTGATGAGAGTGGAGAAGGCATAATGTGATGGAGGGGCCCAGAACTTTTGCGCAACGGTTGCGAGGAGCAATGAAACAAAACCGCCTTCGGCCTCGTGTCGGTACAATCAATGCGTCCCACACGTCCTTTTCACTTTTACTTCCCCTCGCTTCTCGGCTCTCGCTGTGACCTTTGCTCCTCTCTCACTCAGTCACTCGATAAAGTAAATAATTAAAAGCCAAAGCAATTACTGTTTCCACGTCACTTGCTAGTATTATGATCCCAAAGCAAAAAAGAACCCTCTGTTTTCCACTTTCACTGCGATCTTCGCGCTGATTCTCTTCCTTTTCTGCTATCCCTTGATCGCTTCCCCTTTTTCTTCCCTTGCTAATGATCATAATCGTAATCACAGCCTCTTAGTTTCTCCCACTTTCCAGCTTCTCTGATCGTGCGTGAATAGCATACTGCTTCCACCACCTATTTTCTATTACTACCACGCAAAGTCCATTTCTTATCTGATTTGCTCGTCTTTTCCTGACTTTTTGGCTTCATCGTTAATATTCGGTAAGTTCCTTAATTTTTTTTCCAGTGCTTGTTTCTTTCTCATTCTTCTCCCCCCAAGTCTGTTTCTGCCTTTCTGGTTAGAAATTGACACTCCCCTTGGAACGAGTGGGATCTCTGTCGTTTTAGATGTTGATCCTCACCTACTGAGACGACTCTGCTCTCTCCCTCTCCCTTCTTCTTTTTTTCTTTTGATAATTTTGTTTTCCTCTTTATGTGTTTGTTAAAGGAGACCTAATTAAAAGGAGTGGAGATGAGTTTTTGATGCCTTGTGTTGATTTTAGTTTATAGGCTCTCTTATTTTAAGTAGGCATTGTCTGAGAATTGTCAAATTCAGTTTTCACTGTTTTCCGCTTGTAATGAAGTGCAGGTCGAAAGGCGTGGAATTAAACGTGTTGGTTTTGGATGTTGGCTCGATTGCCCTTGTATTTGGATTATGCTGATAGTCTGATACTGAGTATTAGTCATGAGCGAAGGACTTCTACAAATTGAGCCCACGGAACTTAAGTTTACATGTGCGTAAACAATTGACTATTTGCCTGTGGTCGTTCTTTCTGGAAGCTTCTCATTCGTTAATTGAAATGTTAACAAATTCTTCCTTTTATATTTGAATTTATAAATCAAAATATTAGCTAGAAATAATATTTAGTTTCGCTGACGGGGAAATCAAAATATTTTTTCCTGAAAAATATTATGCCTTTACATAAAATATTTCCAGTTCATTTACAACTGACAACCAGAAAAATTTTAAATTGATGAAATGATAGAAGAAATTGCTAAGGGATTCAGGCACTCTATTCTCAAATGTTATTTAGTTCCTAACTGATATGTGGCCTCTTGATCAGACACGTTCCCTGTTTTATTTTTCCACTTAAAGATAACTGATAAAGTTCATTTCCGTATTTTTAGTCATTCATTAGTTATTTCTGGATATAAGAAGAAATCACTGACATCCTCAATTTTCGGCATCTTTAGTTGAATTAAAGAAGCAAAGTTCATGCTCAGTTCAGCTGACTAATAGCACCCACCACTATGTTGCTTTCAAGGTCCGAGCATCTTTCTTACTTTCACCTGCAACTGATCTTTATTTGTTGACATGGAAATCGGTATTATTAAGGCATGATATCGGGCAGCTAAATCATTTATGTCTGATATTGGCAGATCAAGACAACTTCACCTAAGAAATACTCAGTACGGCCACATGTAGGGGTTCTCATGCCAAAATCTTCTTGTGTGTTTGTAGGTATAACCTTTTTGTGACCTATGTTATTTTCATCTCTTCGGTCAGTAATTTTCTACTAGTGTCAAATGAGTGCAAATATGACTGAATTGGAAGACAGGAAGTGAAATTAATTTGTGGTTTATTGATTCACTTACATGATATATATATATATATATATTTTTCATCTTTGTGGTTTATTGTTTGGCTTCAACCTAGTCACAATGCAAGCTCAACGAACAGTGCTGGTAGATCTGATGTGCAAGGACAAATTCTTAATTCAGAGCACCATTGTTCCTGTTGGAACCACTAATGATGACATTACTTCTAGCTTGGTATGGATGTGGCTGTAATTTAGTGATTGGCTTTGTTGTTGTTGTTTTTGAATATTTATTACTTCATTTGTTAATCACAGTTTGTCAAAGATGCCAGCAGATGCATTGAAGAAGAGAAACTGAAAGTAACCCTGGTGAGCCCATTTCATTCAGCCGAAGCATCTCCTGTTAATGGAGACATTAAAAATGGGCCTGCTCATGGAAATGATAAGATATTCAGTGAAGATGAAATCGTATCCCCAGAACACATGGTCAGAGAAAACTTCGTTGATGCTCAGTTCAAAGTTCCTTTCCTTCATTAATCTGTGTCTTTATCATCTCGATAATTCAAATCCTTGGATCATTTACTTTGTAAGTTACACAATTGAAAGGTTTGCAAATTATGACTTGTGGATAGTTGTTTTCATCATTTGAAGAATCTTTTTTTTTTTGGACAAATTTTTAAGAATACTTTGTTTTTGTACTCTATAGAACAAAGTGATGTTGAATAAATTCAAACTTTTCTTGATGCTGTCTTGTAAACTTTTGCTTGGAGTCATGTTTTAGGAACTTGTTATCAGTTCCCTTGGGTTTTGTTTTTGTCACGATTGAAAATGTTGCTATTCTCCTTTGCATATGTTTATGCAAGTGGGTGGGTTATTAATTCCACTGGACGAATTCATCCTTATTAAAAAACTAATGTATCAAAAGCTATTCCTGGAATATGTCATTGTCAGGTTGTTAAGAATGCAGAGAATAAGGTATATAATGAGGAGTTAAAGCACGAAAAGGATATGAAATTGAAGCCGGCGAAAGATAAGGTGTTTGACCCTGTGAAGGATGTGGAGCAACAGAAGCCAGATCAAGCAGCACTGGAAGTGTCAAAAGATTTGGAGCTGAACGTCGCGAAGGATGTAGAGGAACTGAAGTCAGAAAAAGCAGCAGAGTCAAGGATATCAAAGGGTGCAGAAGAGCTGGAATTAATGGAATCTATTGAGAAGTTAGAAGTGTCGAAAGATCTGAACTTTAGCACTGCTATGAATGTAGAAGAACTAGTGTCAGAAAAGGAAGCGAAATTAAAGGTGCCAAAGGGCGTAGAGGAGTTGAAATTAATGGCATCCATTGAAGAGTTGAAGCTAAAACTAGATGAATTTGAGTCCAAGTTAAATGAGGTCGGTCATTTAATCCTAAATTATTTTATCTGTTTGATTGGATGAATGGTTGTGATAGGGGTTCTTGAGTTTGATCTTAATCCATACGAATTACGATCCAACCACAAATATGTTCAAGTTTCTGGCTTCCTTTGCAGGCTGGAGTAACAATATCGAAGCTAACCGAGGAAAGGATGGCAAGCAGTCTAGAGACTAAGATCTTGCAAGAAAAACTAGTAAGCGCAAGGCGATTTCTTTTTGGCCAAACTAGTTTTACTGTCTCGTCTTACTATTACCGGTGTTGTCTTCTTGGTCATTTATTCTGTCATAATTTCTTATCTTTGTGCGTTGCAATTTATTTATCTCTTTAGAAGTTGACCGTGCATATCATTGGTGCTTTAAGATGAAAATGAAATAAGTTTTAACCATCAGGAGTATTCTGTTATTTGAATTTACTCTATAAACTAGAGCACTTTATGTCATCATTGTTGATGGCTTGATTTATATACCTGCAGGCCGATCTGCTCAAGAAAGATGCAAGAAAAGTTAAAGTTGAGTTCCCTCTTCTGCATGTCTGTGTGGTGGCGCTAATCTGTGTATTCCTTGGATACCGTTTACATCCCTGAGTCTTGAAAACTTTGGGGCATCGTCTATATGAAGTGGCAAACATTTTGAGTTGTTTATGGTTTTGTTAATAGCTGGAGGTTTTTCGTAAATACTTGTATGTTAATATCTGCAGATGCGATGATTAGGGTCAGGGATGCTCATGTTAAAGGAAACAAATAATATGAGATCATGGTAGGCATGAGACCGTCGGTTATAGGATTTGAATTTGATGACTATATTTATTATTTAATGCAGGCATCGAGTGACTGTAACATGTGAATTACTGAAATACAAATTAATTGTTTATATAAATTTACTTATTTATTAATTTTAAATGAAGTATGAATTTAAAATTATTGATTTAGATTTCAATGATTTAGATGCTGCATACTATGTTAAGTAATCATCAAATTTAAATCCTTAAACCATTAGGCATACTTGCTGGAAAATAAAGACTAAAGAATAATAATTGATATGGTGTTGATATATCACTATTAATGCGCCGTTCTGTAGCGATACAATTGATATCTTCCTTTTTTCTGCATAACTAATGTGGATTCATTTGCTGTGTGAAGCTTAAAAAATAAATTGCATTTTTGACATACATTATAAGTAAAATGTGAGGAGTGGATTCTGCCAGATTTTTTTTTTGTGGTAAAATAGAGGGCTATGCCCAGAATTTTAAATGAAAATTACACATAAGGGGATTGAGAAACTAAAAGCTCCTTAAAAACAGAGGAGCAACCTCAGATAGAGAAGAATAAAAAATCTCATCATTAGCTAGTTTGTCGGCTATTTGGTTCTGCTCTCTCTCCACATAGTGGATCCTGAACTCTCAATTCCATTGTAGCATGTTGAGAAACTCAAGGAATACCACACTGCCTGTGTTATTATAAACCCTTGCTCTATCAATTTGATCGAACAAGGCTCTTGCAATCTGACTCCAGTCAAGCCTTTTTGAAACCAAAAGTCCATACAACCATACAAAGCGGAGGCTACAGGGTAAAAAGCAATCCGGTTGCCTTATGAAACGAGGACAATGCGTATGCCAATCACTCACTACATGTGACAGTTTTTTTATGTTATCTATATGTCATGTATTCTAAGTACTCTATCCATTTTAAAATATAAAATTTTTTTATCAGACTTACACTCTTTAATAACTTAATTAATTGTTTTTAAATTAATACAATTTTTCTATGTCTATCTTTATTTAATTTGACATTTCTTTTAAAGATAAATAGATTGAGTGATATATTTATTAAGGATGTTATTAAACAAAAACTCATTAATTGTGTATTGAAAAAAACTAAAAATGTCGCATATTTTTTAACATTTAATCTTATAAAAAAGGTCTTATATTTTTTAAGGGAAGGGGGAGTTAGGAGTAACAGTTTTATTGATGAATTTTTTTGTAAATACATCCTCCATTCATAGATCAAAATATCATGTGAATTAAAATTATCATATGTAATCAAATTTGTATTAATCGGTGGTAACAAGTACTAAATAATAATTAAAGATAGAAAGGATGACAATAAAGTTTCAAAACAAGAAATTTATAACATTTAAGTCTCTACAAATTTTTTAAAAAATAAATTACAAATATTGATCCAAATAGTTACAAACAAGAATCTCAATAGTAAATTGAAAGTTATATTTAAAATTTAAATGTCTTATTGTAATTAAAATTTTTAAATTTAAAACAAATAAAACACTTAAATTTATAACTATTTGAATCAGTATTTATAACTAATTTTTTAAAATATTTTGTTAGGACCTAACTATTATAAATTTATTACTTTTTTATTTTAATGTTATTCTTCCTTAAAACAACTATCACAAGCATAAATAGTTTTTTGGGAGAATGACAATTAAGGACCTGCTAAGAATATTAATTTTAATTACGGACCGTGAAATTTTAAAATCCAAGTTAAGGACCATGGTCTTTAATTGTGATAAAAAAATGAAATTTGTGAGGTGAGATTCACTAACGCGACTTGAAAATTCACTAACCCAACTTGAGAAAATTACTAACGTATATTGTGAAAACATGAAACCCCACTTGGAAATGGAATGTTTAACAAAAAGTGTCACTTGGGAATTCACTAACTAGACTTGAAAAAATTTCTAACGTATATTGTGAAAAAATGAAACCCCACTTGAGAATCATTAATAAAAAGTGACTTATCCAAATTGGTGTTTTTTATTAAACAATCGATTCTCAAGTGAAGCTTCATGTTTTCATAATATACGTTAGAAATTTTTTCAAGTCTAATTAGTGAATTTCTAAGTGGCGCTTTGTTAAACATTCCATTTTCAAGTGGGGTTTCATATTTTCACAATATATGTTACAAATTTTCTCAAGTTGGGTTAGTAAATTCCCAAGTGGCAATAATGAATTCTATCTCACAAATTTCATTTTTTTATCACAATTAAGGACCATGGTCTTTAACTCGAATTTCAAAATTTCACGATCCGTAATTGAAATTAATGTTCTTAGCAGGTCTTTAATTGTCATTCTCCCTAGTTTTTTTTTTTTTTAAATTGTTTTAGCTGATAAAACGCATTAACTAATTATCCATGTGCGGCATTCTCGCCGGCCACACGATTTTTTACACCAATGTCAACCCTCCACCCCACCCTCCCAAAAAAAAAAAAATCTGCAATATTTTCTTTTTGGCATAAGTTTACATTTTCATTACAACATATCTAGGCCTATTCAACCTAATTAAAAATTGAGAATTCTTCCCTTCTATTTTCTGCATCCTAAATTCCTAATTCCTAATTACATGTTTACGTAGTTAATACACACACGTATATATAATTAGCAGTGCCCAATTCAATGGCATGGAAGAGTTAATTATTTTTAAAGAAGGCATGCAAATCTAGAGATAAAAATTGGTCAAAAAAAATTCTAGAGATAATAATATCATGATAGTATTTACTTTGTTTCATAGATAATGCATGGAAACTAAATATAAATGTGCTATATTTTAAAAGAGAATTAAAAAAAAAAAAACAAACAAACAAAGGGGCGCATGAGGCCCATGTATTAGTTTACGACCAACAAATCTACAGTGATTCTGAAGCCGTGTCAGATTACAATTCATTGATGGAGATAATAATTGCATATTTAATTATAAAATAATTCTAAAAATTTAATTTAGACTGATCAATTTATGTGTTTTAAAATATACTGGGTAAAGTAAGATAAATTAAAAATAATTTAATGTTAAAAAAGATGTTTTGAATGGAGTTTTACAGGAAACATAGCGCAGGTTATAAATTAAAAGAAGAAGAAGAAGAATATTCATATTTCCAGTGATTGCCTAGTTAATAACTTAATATGATGCTCTTCACATCATGATGGTCACATGTTATCCTTTTAATTTGCTCGGCTTGCTTGTAAATTTATACTATGGTTCTCCGGTGAATGATCTTTCCCCTCGGCTTGCGCGATTCCTGTGGCTAGCCGCTGATTTATTTAGGGGCGAAAATGAGAGGAACATATTTTTAGCAGCAGGCGAATGGGTTTATAAATGCATTAATACATTCATTTGAATAATAATGGTGCAAGGAAAGAAAAATGAGATAATTATGGTTATCATCCACGATAATTATGGCTTCATAGTTAGATGTGTAACATATACCAAGAGATTGGACATAACCCATGAGGGTATCCATATAATACTCTTTTCATCATAAACTATAAGATAATATAAGATAAAACTATGCATATTAATAAAATATAATTGTAAAATTTTACAAATTTTTCTTTTCAAAAAAATATAAATTTTTAAAAACATCCTTCATTTAATATAACTTTAAATTTATACATTTAATTATTACACATGGCTGTTTAGGCTATTAAACAAGTGAGGCAATTGCGTTAAGCATCCAAATTAAAAAAGCTACCAAAAGTGGCTTATGACAATAATCTAGGGCCTATTTGTTTAGTTCGTATAGTAAAAAAAATTACTTATTTTTTGAAAAAAAAATTATTTTGTATGTTTTTATTCTGTTTGTTTAATTTTTTAAAAATAATTCAAAACTGAAAAAAATATATTTTTAATTATTTTAAGAAGCTATCTTAAATAGCTTTTGAAAATAATTTAATGGAGAGAAAGCATTTTAAAGAGATGAGATATAAAAAAATATCATAAAATTTTAAAATAATATAATAATTAATTATTTTTATAAAACAAAAATAAGGAAGATATTATGAAATTTAAAAAATAACTAATTAATAATTATTTTTTTTATTATTGTAACCAAACATAAAATAATGTCTGTTTTTTATAAAATCTCAACCAAATAATTTTTTTATAAAATCTTTAAATTACTTAAAAATTATTTATTTTTTTAATCTCAAACAAACGATCTCTAATGCATTAAATGAGAGAGAGCATTTTAAAGATGTAAGAAATATAAAGATATCATAAAATTTTAAAATAATATAATACTAAATTATTTTTATAAAAGAAAAATCAAGAAAGATATCATAAAATTTAAAAATAACTAATCAATAATCATATTTTATTATTATAACCAAGCATAAAATAATATTTGTTTTTTATAAAATTTTTATAAAATAAATCTATTTTTTATAAAATTTATAAACTACTCAAAATTACCTATTTTTTTAATTTTAAACAAACAGAATACTTTGTCAATGCTAATTTTCATCTCCCTATCAAATTAATTTAGTATTTTATTAGACTTACTATATTATAAAATTTTAATGTATGACTTTGTAAAAAACGGTGAGTGGATTTTTTTTTTTTAAAGGGACAACTGCATGTGTTAAGCTTCATTAATAATTTTGTCTTAGGTTTCAAAACTTCTTAACACAACATTGACAATGTGTCATTACATTAGGATCATTTCAATTGTCTCTATCTTGAAAGTAATAATAAAAAATATCAGTAATATTCGTTTTATCAAATTATTTTATATTTAAAAATAATAAATTATTTTTAAAGTTTTCTGATAATGTGTGATACGGACCTAGTACGTATCTCTCATAAAACTAACATGCATCGTTGACCAGCCAATCAATCTGTCTTCCAGCCATCTTCAAGAATTTACGATTTATTTACTGTTATTATTTTCTGTAGCATTTCTTCAGGAGTTATTTGAAGGTTTTAATGTTTTCTGAATTGATTATCTTTTGAATTTTAAATTCTATATCAAAATAAAATCATGTTTGATATATATCTCTTCAATCTAATATACAACAAGGAGCCTTGATAACTATTTATTGTTCTAAAAAATGTTGGCTGAAATTTTAATTTTTTTAAAAAAATTATAAAAATTTTAACTGCAACAATACTAAATGTTTTAATAATTTAAAATAAAGTAGCGGTATTATTTTACACGGCAGGGGTTACATGAGGTGGGGTTACATTGTAATATTTCAGGTTTTTTTAAGATAGCGGATTATAAGAAGAAGAAGAAGAAGAAATTTTTTAAAAAACAACAGAAATTGTCAGAAAAAATATTAGGATTTACGCTCTTTATTTTTATATATAAAATATTTTTAATTAAATTATATAAATAAATAAAAGTTAGTTATCTAATTAAAAATATTACAATATCTTAATTTTATCTTTAATTATTATAAATAAAAAATAATTTTTTAAAAAATAAATTAATAAATATATTTATCTTTTTTTAATTTAATAAGAATATAATAATTTATTCATTAAAAAATACTAACAATTATTTATTTTGAGGAATTTTTTTTTTAAATGCAGCAATAGAGGGAGTATTATTTAAGTTCAGAGAGCCCATCAGCCCAATGCCATATTTGAGTGCGTCTGGGAGTCTGGAACGCTGTTTCTTCGCCGTCAAGCAATTTTAGTGCTGTAGCTGTAACAGTCTTCCGGCTTTATATTTCTCTGCAACTCTGTAAATGCTGTCCAAGTCTCCCAGCTTTGGCGCATTCCCCTCTTTGCGCTTTTTAACTTCAGATTTTAGGGTTTCAAGTTTGAACTCGCTTGTCCCTCTCGTTTGAAATAAACATTGTGAGGGACGACGTTGTTTCTACTCGTGCAATGGAGGAAATTGCATCCAATTTGCGAGTGGCTGGGATGAAACTAGATTACTTGGGAAGAGCGTACGAGCAGTTGCAATCCCAAGCTTCCTCTTTCCTTTTGTTCTCTCTCCAATGGAAGGATTTGCAGGAACATTTTGATTCCCTCAGTAAAATGATTGGAGATCGCTTGGAAACTCTCAATGTCCGTGAAAAAGAGGTTGGGTTAAAGGAGAATCAACTGAGTGTCATCAAGAAGCACTTGGATGAGTGCTCCAAACTGGTTGTCGAGAAAGAGGAACGGTTGCTTCTTGTCCAGAAGTCCTTAGATGAGTGTAACGAGGAAGTTGACTCACAAGGCAAGAAACTGGAAGAAATTAGAAGGTTGAGTCAACAAGCTTCCAATGATTTCGGATTGAAGGAGAAACATCTTGCTTCGCTCTATGCTTTGATTCAAGAACATGCTGAAGAGCTTGAAAAGAAGGAGAAGAACTGGAACGCGATGCAGAAGTCAATCGCTGAATCCTCTGCTCAACTTGAGGCGAAAGAGAAAGAACTTGCTTCGGTTCAAAAATCAATAGGTGAGTACACGATAAAAGCAAAAGCTAAAGAGAAGAAATTGCTCTTGATGGAGAAAGATATTGAAGAGCGATCCAAAGAGCTTGAAAAGAAGGGAAAAGACCTTAGTAATGTACAACGACAATTGAGATTATGTCGCCAAGATATTGAATTGAAAGAGAGAGAATATCATGCCATTGAAAGAAGTATTGAAGAACGTGGCAAGGAGTTGAATGCAGGGGGAGAAGAACTGAAATCTATCCAGAAATCGATAAGCAACTACGAGAAGCTGCTGGAAGAGTATAATAGGGATCTTAAAATGATCACGGATTTGGTCATTGAACGTGAACAAATGCTCAAGTCAATACAGAGGAACATTGGAGAATGTAACAGGGATCTTGGAAAAAAGGAAGAAGGACTCGTTTATTTGAAAGGCTTGATTAAAGAACGTGAGGAGAATTTCAGTTTAATAGATGCTGAATTTCAGGCACTATCAAAGAAACATAAAAATGATTATGAAAAGAGGGAGGGGGAACTCAAGTCTATCCAAAAGAAAATTACTCAATGTGATGAGGAGCTCAAGACAAAAGAGAAAGCACTTGATTCAATACAGAAGTCAATTTTTGGACTTGCTAAGGAACTAGAATCAAAAGGGAAAAACTATGATGACCTTGTAGCAAAAGAGGAAGAACTCAAGTCTTTGCAGAAAAGAATTGATCATCAGGTTGGAGAGCTTGAAAAAGACAAGAAAGATTTTGATTTGAGCAAACTTCAGACAAAAGAAAGGTTCATGGAACTTGAAATGAAACAGAAACAATTTGAAGAACGAGCAAAGAACCTTGAGTCAAAAGAGAAGCAATTTAATGGACAAGTGAAGAAGCTCAAGTTGAAAGAGAAACAGTTTGAAGAGCAAGTGAAGGAGCTTGAGTCCAGAGAAAAGCAAGTTGAGTTATTAAGAAAATCATTTGAAGATGAAAAGGTGTTGCTAGAGATGGGAAATATCTTCCTGCCACATGTGAAGACTGAGGAACTGGATTTTGTAGATACCAATGGTTTCGAGAATAGCAGGAATTTGCAAGCACTTTTTAACAAGCTTCTGAAAACTTATGAGTTGGTATGCCTTGAGGTATCAACTGCTCTCCAAGCATCAGCAGACCCTGCTAAATTGGTGCTAGATGCAATGCAAGGTTTTTATCCTTCAAATTCGAACCAAGAGGACATGGAATATGATGCAAATATTATAAGGAGGAGCTGTATTCTTTTGCTAGATGAATTGAAGAAATATTCTCCACTAATTGGTTCTCATGTGAAAGAAGAATCAATGAAGTTGGCAAGTGAGTGGAAGGAGAATTTGTCTGTAGGTAATAAGGATTGTTTGGAGGTCCTGGGTTTTCTGAAGCTTGTGGCTACATATGATCTAGGTTCATCCTTTAATGCGAGTGAACTTCATTTGCTTCTAGATATTATTTCCCAGCACTGTCAGAAATCTGAATTACAACAAGTCCTGGGTATTGTTAATACTTTTCCCGGTAAACATGTGCTTCCTTGTCTAGCTTACCAGACCAAGTTTTAATAATCTGTTTCTTCCCAAGTTCATGTGGTCACTCTGATGCTTCTCTTACATATGATCCTTATGTAATAATTTTCATAAGCAGTTTAATGCTGTATATCTTCATCAATTTTAATGGCCTTCATTAATTTCTTTATTTATCTCTTTTTTAATTTCCATTTGGTGTTGATACAAAAGGGGGGGGGGACAAATGAATTTGCTATTTTTTGTCAAGTAGAAGCCCTTAAATCCAAAAGTCCTTTTTAGCATCCTTTAGCAAAATAAGATTATATTATGGTACCGCAAGCAATATAGTTATATGATTTCATATTTTAAAAGTGCATTGCCAATGACTTGAGGCTTATGAGCTGCAACATTGATTGAATTTCCTGATTAGGTCATGGAAGGATTAATAGTTCAGCAAAGATCAAAGAGGAGAAATTAAAGGAATAATAATGTGCATTTTATCCGAAAAGGAAAATGAAATAATCCTTGGAGTCTCTGACTGACTCTGCAAAATTTCTTCTCTTTTTGATGACAAGCAAAATTTCTTCCCCGGAGCTAATGTATGATCTATAGTCTGCATCATGAAGATGAAACAAAAATGCTGTTGCTTTAGTGTGGTTCCCTTCAATCTTTATATTCCTCATGGATACGTTTATCATACATTCTATGCCCTTCTGTTTATAAAATAAAAGGAATCACCTTTAGAGGCTTTTACTGTAGAACCCATTTTCATTACCTTTTGCAGTTGACTAGTCTATTACCTTTTTTTGTCCATTGTTTTTATGCTTTAATTTTATCTGCCCTGTTCTGAAGGTATTCTTACATCTACTAACGCAACCTTTTTTCTCCGTTTATCCTCTCAGTGGTCTTGTGTGATTTGAGTGATTTAGTTATGGCACAATAATGATGATTTCTCTTAGTGTTAATAAATGCAAAATGGCCATGCGAGCTATTCAACTTCAGATATTTGGGATTCATGACATCTGCATGCTCTGATTTTATTATGCATGTCCCCTTGATTTTTATGCTTTGACAAATGTGAGGAGCTTAAATATCTTGCAGCTAATTTTGCAGTTAAATTTGTGCAGACAACCAGTTCAATGATTCCGAAGATGGAAGAAATTTGCATTTGATTGCAAATCAACAAGCAAATGCAAACGAGTTGATGGGCAGTGGCATTTTTGTTGATCTCCAAACATCAGATCCAGCAAAACTTGTTATAAATATGATAAGGCACCCTATTGTTTCGCGAAGTACAAAGGAAGAGAAAACTGCAATCATTGCTGGAGGTCACATTATTTTGCTGAAGTGGCTTATGAGAATCTCACCAGATATTAAACCACAAGTAAGAGAAGAAGCAATGAAGCTAGCCCTTGAGTTGAAGGCTGAGATGAGAACAAGTACTGAAAATTCTTTGGAGGTTCTGGGATTTCTACTGATTTTGTCCATTTATGGTTTAGCATCATCATTTGAGGAAGATGAAATTTTAGAGCTCTTCGAGATTGCTGCTCACCACAAACAAGCTGTAGAGCTTTATCAGACACTTGGTTTTGCAAACAAAGTTTCTGGTATGTTTTCTGAAAATTTTATGCGGTCACTATCTCTCTACATGTCTTTCTCACATATAGAACTTTGTTGAGAACTATCCATTACCTGGTATTAATAAATAATTTGAATTTAAGCCGTGTCAAGCCCCAAACAAAGGAATGAGATCTTCTGCAAACACAAGAAAAGAGACAAGAAAATTGCAAGGCTAACACAAAGAAGTCATACCCCCAGAAAGGAAGTGTGAACGGTTTGGAATTCAGGATCACAAAATTCTACAAATTGAAACACGCCAAGGTGGTCAAAGGCAAAAGGCACATTTACCCTTCATTTGGGAGAAAAACAGGAAGGAAAACTAGGAGGAAAAACTCCTAAAAATAGTAAAAAGAATTTACTTTTTTCTTTTTAGGAAATTTTTCCTCCTAGTTTTCTCTCTATTTTCTCCCTACTTTTCCCTTCATCGAAACCAAGCCTTAAGGAGCTAGACCTTTAAAATGCCTAAGGCGAGATGCACTAGAAATACTCTAACCCAAGAGAATCGAGGCACTAAAGCAAGAAAACATATGATATACAATTTGAAATAGATAAATGTAAAGGAAGATAGAACTTTTGGTCCTCAAACTTTCATCAAATTTACAATTTGGTCCTTTTGTTTTAATTTGTATCAAATCAGTCCTTAAATTTTCAAATGCTTATAGATTTAATCCCTAGGATTAATATTGAGTAGTAACACCATCATGTCATTACATCGATTACTCTATGCAACCAAGGTAACATTTGCATAGCTAGCACAAGCATAATGGGGTTATTATTAATTTTCTACTTTATTATGCATAGTATTAAACATAGGGATTAGATTTTTAAGTGTCTGAAACTTCAAGGATTGGTTTAATGCCATTTAAAACATAGGGGCTGAATTGCAAATTTGGTATAAGTTTGACAACCCGAAGTCCCATCTTTCCTTAAAAAAAAAAAAAAAAATTTACATATGAACGAACAATTGATAAATGTATTAGCCATTATAGTCACGAAATTATAACAAAAATTAAAGTGTGCTACTCAAGATAAAAAACATTTTAATCTACCAAATAATGTATCGGGATCAAAACCATCAGATTCATATCTCATGACTTTCTTCTCTTCTCCTTCACTTGATTTTATATCCTTCCACTCCTGAACGTCCTTCTTTCTTCCTCTACATTGTGCATTCCGTTTCAAACTAGCTTCTATTGACATGTGGTGGTCCCTAATGCCCTATAAAATTTTAATGGCATAAATAATATTTCAAATTGAGAGTTACTATTTTACCCTATTTATTAAATATAAAACGTTCGGCTGGTCTTCTTGAGTTGTGTTTTATAGTTTTTAGGTTTAGGCTTTTGGGTTAGTTGCATGACATGAGCAAGTTGCCTAAGACGCATGCCTTTCACAAGGGAAATGGCTCAAAAGGAGTTACACCTTTTGGCACCTCACTGAAGGGAATGCCTCTGTGAAAGGCGTTGAACTTGTCTGGCACCTTTCTGCCTTACATAAAACAACGATCATATGCAAAATATCTTAATTCTTTTAGCTTATATTTTTGGTTAATCTCCCCTATAAGTTAGATTATCCCAATTTGTACAAAAATCTAAAATCAGTCAACATTTTACATTACATGGAGATCTGAATCCTACGCAAATGCTTTCCTCACCCCATACTCCCAAGGCCTCGTGCGTTCTCTGTTTTAAAAAAAAAAAAAAAAAAAAGTGGACTACTATGAGTTTTATATAGAAAGAGATGTGTTTCTCACTTTCTTGTCATATCAAAACACAAACATGCACCTCCCCCCTGCTTCTGTTGTTTTTCTTTTTTAATTGATTTGCCAAAACTAAGTTGATTATATTGCTGTACTGACTTGACGCCAGTTTTATCCTGCTTGTCCCCTGCCATCTTCAGCGAGGAAAATGTTCATTGTTAATTTGCTTGTATGTTTGGACTTCAAGTTCCCTCTACGTTTCCCTTTCATGCATTTTCAAACTGTCATGAAATGTTTGTTTCTCCCTTCTCCCCTTCCCAACTAGGATTATGAAAATTATTAGTCCCTCTTGATTGTTTTGGTAACTTGAACTGATTTTCTGGCAGTGGTCTCGTCTTAATTTGCTTGCTTTAGTTTTTACGGAATGAATTCCTGTTAAATTAATGTCCCAGAGTACTTTTCTTCTCCAATTTGATAGATGAAATTTTGTCATGTCTAGCAGATTTTGTTCTTAATCTTATCAAGAAGCAGAAGCCTGCTGAAGCTGTTAGATTTATATGCGCTTATGAGTTGGCTGACAAGATCCCACCAGTTGATCTCTTGAGAGAATATGTGCAGAATGCAAAGATGGTTTCCAAGAAAAGTTCGTTTGAAACTAAGGTTATTTTGCCCTCTTTAAATTCGTTTTCATCAAACTATCATCAATTTCATATAAATGCTCATTCATGAGATTTTTAATATGAGCTCTCAGGATAAGGCTAGAGATGAAGAATTAGCTTGTCTGCGAACTGTCTTGAAGTGCGTTTCAGACAACGATCTTGAATGTCAGGATCTGGTTAAGGAGATTCACAACCGCATTGATGAGCTGAGACGGCTGAAGGCAAACGGGTTTGGCACTACACCAGGGCCTTCTTCCAAAGTCGAAGAGCAACGGCTAGAACAAAAGAAACATAGTAACGAGGGATTCACCAAGAAGCGTCAAGTACAACCTTGTAACAACAAAAAACGTCCTCGAACTGCTAAAAGACCCTCTTTAGTTCCGGTATCCACTCCTACATATCATTGACCTATGTTTTGGCTCCACCGCGAAGGAGTATTCTTACCTGATGGAATGCCTGCACCGGTTGGGCCTCTCACTAACAACTTTGGACTTGGTACTCCTATGGGTGCAGGACAGTATGGAAATCGCGGAAGACACTACTCTCACTCCTAGCTATACCCCTTCAAGGTGACCCAGATATGGACGTTGTAAAATGCCATGCTATATATGGTCACGACAAGGTTCGTACTTGGATCTCAGCCTTCTAGTCTTTTAAGGTGAGTCTTGAATTTGCGTTGCTGCCGTTATCACGTATTATTTTGGTCTTTTGATTGCACGGGAGAACATTGATGTTCTTCTGACTTTTACTATATGCCCGAACCAGAAATGGCCAGGGCAGGCAGGCCACTTGCGGCCATATCTATTATCTTCTTGTGTAAATGGTAGCTGATTTTCTTATCCTTCGGTGTAAAAGGTCATGGTTTTAGCTATGTTGCAAAATTAACTGGTAGTTGACATTGACAAGGTGTTTACTCATAGTGACTAGTAAAGATGCATTCCATTTCCTGATGATAAACTTACGAATGGAAGATAATGTGATGCTTAGTGTATACAAATCTTACGGTGTTATTGTCGCTGCTGCTGTAGTTAAGATACTAAATATATAAACCTTTTTTTCTATTGAGCATTATATATCCATACATTTTGTGCTTAGTATAAAGGAAAAATGACAATTACAGATCCCATGAGACCATTAATTACAATTAAGGATCCTGAATTATTAAATTCCCAATAATGTATCAAAGTTATTACTTAGAACTAAAAGCATGAGTTTAAAATCAAGAAAAGACACTACTGAAATTACTGTTATAGATTGAGATTATTATTAATTTTAATTGAAAAAAATCAAGATTCACACTTAGAAATGGGTTGTTTTTCAATATGAAACTAAAATTGATTTGCAAAACTTTCAAAAGGCATTTGTGGATGTATAATAATCACTTGAAAATTTATCAAATCATTTCTGAACACGAAACCAATCACTTGTAAATCTTTATATTTGTACATATATATGTAAATTACTTGAAAAATTAAAAAAAAAGACACTTGAAAATTATTATTATGGGTTGGAACTGTTGTTAATTTTAATTGAAAAATTTAAGATTCCAAATATTATGGGTTGAGACTATTAAAACTACTATCATGAGTTGGAATTATTGTTAATTACATTGTTGAGTGTGGATTCTAGTTTTTCCAACTTATATTAATAAGTCTTAATTTATAATTGTAATTTCAGTAATTTCTTTTGTTAATTCTAAACTCATGTTTTTAATTTCAAGGAAGGACCATATTATATTATTAGGACTTTAATAATTTAAGGTCTCTAATTATAATTAATAATCTTTTGGGGTTCTAAATTGTCATTTCCCCTAGTATAAAATACAAGCCGTTATTTTCACAATTTTAAAATAGTTTTTTTTTTAATTTTATATGTTCATATCTCAATATTTGTTTAGGAAATGTTTACATAGGCAGGAACTTCTCCATTTTTTTATCATTTTCCCTCTACTTAAGTAAATATGTTTTAACCATATATCTGATGAATGATTATAATTGAGGAAGTGAAAGAAAAAAAAAATGAAGAGGTTACACATCCATCTACATGACCATAATTTTATGTCTATTTTTAGCAGGGAAAAAAAAAAAACAAAGGCTATTCATATACGCGAAGAATAGATGGTGTAATTGAATTGTTTCAATCAAAGATTTGCTCGAGATTCGTCTTCTACGAACACGCAAAACAGGTGAGGAGACTGAATTGCTTCAACTAAATATTTATTTGAATTTCAGTTTACATTTAACAAAAATACATTTAGGGATTTAATTATTTGTTAAATTTAATAAAAGCACATTTCAGATATGATTCGAATGCGCTTTTGCTGAACATATTTGCTAAAGAATCCTGTCTATGTAAAACAAGGACAAAAAGCTAAAAACTTGAACTCTGACTATAGTCGGTGGCTTGGCTTCGAGGGTTAAAAGAAAATAGCAATGATGGAAAAGCCGTTTAAAAAGTAAAAAAAATATGGTCCAAGTTCTCGTTGTATGCGAACCTAAGGGAAAAAAATTGAAAAAGTGACTGCTCATGATTTTTTTTAATATAAAGTTCAATATTATTAGAAGATAAAACGATGACACGAAAAATTTCAAATTGGACTGGAAATATGAAAGTATGAGAGTTAGATTTATAGGAAATAATTATTGACGTAGTTAGGTTTCGAAACTAAAGTTTTTTTCTACAGAATTACATGCGTATATATTTTTGTTACCAGCAGCAACTTTAAGTATAATAAAATATATTAGATATATTTTCTGTAATGAGGTATTATAACATCATATTATTAGATTTCGTTACGTCTTAAGTCTTAGCGTTGTTGTGCCTGTTTGGATAGGCCAAATTATTGTGCCCACTTAAAGTTAAACCATGGCTTTGAAAGGAATAAAAACCCAAACACTTCATTTTCCCTGAACTCCGCACCGTCCTCTCCCTCTTCCGTCTGTTGCTCTATTGGAGGAGCGTCGAGATCAATGGAGCTGTACGGTTTTCAATTCATAAATTATTCGAATGACAAGAAAGATCGCTCACTGTAATGCTGGGTCTTTGGTGTTCGTGGAGATTATTCAAATGTTGAGGCAGTAGGATGTCAAAATACTTTGCTTTCCATCCCGAATCAGTCTTGTGGCTGATGGACTCTTTATCAATTCTTCAGAATATTGTATAACACTGTTCCTCCTTCCTTTCAAACCTGGAGAACAAAGATCAATTGGAATTTCAATCCCCACATTGCAATCTCTTTTAATTTTGGGCTTTGGCCCTTCTTGTTTATTAAAAAAAAAAATCATAAATATGACGAAGAAGTGAGGGACCCCCAACCCGAACTAACTTTGCCTTACCCATCTGCCCTTCATTTTTTGTTATTTGCCTTTATTATTAATTGACCCAATTTACGTCGTCGTTTCACCTAATTGGAGGGCGAAGCTTGATTCTCTCATCTCGTGCCAGTATTTTCATTAACTTTTTGAGTTTTGACGTTAATGACTTACTCGTATATGAGAGAGGGATTAACATGTATCGGATTTCAGGAGCTATGATATGATTTTTTTTTAATTTTCATATTGATTTATAATTATCACCGTATCATAATCGAACATCATATATAGTACATGGGCCAGTAAAGAACATCACAGTACTTTAAAAAAGAAGAAGCAGAAACTCCGAAAAACAATAAAAGGAGAAAGGGGGGGGGGGAGGAGGTTAGACTGTAGCGCACGAAGCAACGGGCCGATGCGGAAGCGGTGGCTCCGCAGTCCGCACTACTTAACATTCTACACAGTACACAGCTTCTGTTTGACTCTTGGTCAACCACTCAACTCAACCTTACCAAACCCATTTTCTCTTTTTCTTGCTCATTATTTTTAGTTCCAGTTAAAAAAGTATATACTCAATATCTTTTGCTGTAATAATCAAATGTGGAATTCGCACTGACACCCTTCCAATTGTCTCGTCTTTTTTTTTTTTTTTTTTGGCTCTCAAATTGATATAATTATCCAACGATGAGATATAATTGAAATAGTACACTTTTTGAATAACAGTATAAAATACGTAAATGCACGCCACCTAACCTTGGCATGCAATTGAGTCAACAGGTCCCGACGGAATGATGAGGGCATAGAGGTTAATGTCCCTTTGTAACGGTTAAGTGTTCATGCAGGCCACCGGCTATTCTCAGGGAGAGGCTGTTAGATGGAATACTTTTAGAGATATCAATGCCAACGCATTTTCTAAAGACATGAAGTCAGTCGTATATATAATGATTTTCAGTATTTAGGGATCCTCATCACCTTTCCTTTTTCAAACTCGCCTCGCCATCACCCCTACCAATCCAACGCTTCCACCATGAAAAGCCCTCCGGTACCAATCTCTCTCTCTCTCTCTCTCTGCGTGTGTTTGTGTGTGTGTTTCTCTCTGCATGCTTAGGGCTGTCATGTGGAAGCTTGAACGGTCATATCTTTTTTGTGCTGCGTTTCCCGGCTTATATATACAAAAAATAAATTATTGAGTATATGTTAGACATTCTAATCATATTTCTTTAATTATAAATAATTAAACATGTAATGGGAAAAATGTTTCATATTTTGCTTGCCTTATCATCATGGGAGATCGGTGAAATTTGAATGAAATATAATTGATAAGAAAGATTGAGAATGAAACAAGAAAAAAAATAAGGCGAAATATACGAAAAGAACCGGCGAGGTGTACTGTCACACGACAATCACCATTACGTTAGAGGCAGTATTTCCCTTTGAACAGAGGCAACGTTTATCAAGGAAAGCAAGCATGTTCTGAGTAGGTAAATTTTGTGCGGTTTTTTTTCTTCATCATTAAAAGCAAGATTATCTTGATTTTGCATTTTGTTTCCCAATATCTCTACCAACTTCCCTTAATGAAATTTTGTGCCAAAGGTGAAAAATGGAACATGCAGATTCAAAAGTAAAAAAGGGGAGGAAAAAAAAAATGTTTCTGACATGCGTGTTAATATAGCAGCTGGCTGCTACGGATTTTCAAATTGGGGGCGAAGTTAGGAGAAATTCAACGCTAATATGCGCTCCCATCTTGAGCGACTCAGTCGATGAAATGCTGATTCAGATGAGAAAGGCCAAAGAACTGGGTGCTGATCTTGTGGAGCTCCGCTTAGATTCCTTGAACAACTTCAATCCTCCACAACATCTCCACACCCTGATCAAACAGCGTCCTTTGCCCACTCTCGTCACTTACAGGTCTTGCTTCGATTAAATTCTAGACCGATATACTTACTATATTATACCAGCACTTCATGCTCTAGTAATCATTTTTCAGACCCACATGGGAAGGAGGGAAGTATCATGGTGATGAAAGCAAGCGACTAGATGCTCTACGTTTAGCCGCTGAATTGGGGTCTGAGTTTGTTGACGTTGAGCTTGAGGTAATTGAAATAAAGTCCAGTTTAGACTTGAAGCAACGTAACATTTGAACATGGAGTACTGATTAATGAATTGGTGCGTTTTAATTTGAAGGTGGCTCGTGAGTTTTTTAATTCCATCGGGGAAAAGAAGCCTGAGAACGTCAAGATTATTGTTTCTTCACATAACTACGAAAACACACCGTCCGTGGAGCAATTGGGCAATCTTGTCGCGAGAATACAGGCTTCTGGTTGCGATGTAGTGAAAATTGCAACAACCGCCCTGGACATCGTAGACAATGCCCGTATTTTCCAAGTGCTTGCCAATTCTCAAGTATGCAACGTCCTTCACATCTCTCAACGTTAATTTCTTCCAAATCATTGCCTGGATGGCACTTGAATATAAAAAATTAATGGGTTTGTGTGTGTAGGTGCCAATGATAGGGCTTGCGATGGGGGAGAAGGGTCTCATGTCAAGGATTCTGTCGGCAAAGTTCGGAGGATTTCTCACATTCGGTTCGGTTAAGAGTGGAGCGGAATCAGCCCCTGGACAGCCCACTGTCAGAGACTTGTTGGAGTTGTACAATTTCAGGCACATTGGGGCTGACACTAAAGTACATGGTGTTATTGGAAATCCCATTGGTCATAGTAAAAGTCCCCATCTTTATAACCCATCTTTCAAGTCCGTGGGATTTAACGGCATTTACCTGCCTTTGTTGGTTGATAGCGTCTCCAATTTTCTCCAGACTTACTCTTCCCCTGATTTTGTTGGATACAGGTATATATATCATCTTGTAACCTTCAATTTGCGGTTATAAACATAATGTCCGCCATTTCTTGTTCATTTTTCTTACACATGTACAACAGTTATACGATCCCCCACAAGGTGGACGGACTCAGATGCTGTGATGAGGTCGATCCAATTGCGACGGTAAATTTGATCCCAGAACCTCTTTTCCTAATTATTATTATCCTTCCTGTAACATCTCCCTCGCCAACTCTCTCGCGCAGGCAATAGGGGCTATTAGTTGCATGATCAAGAAGCCAGACGGGAAACTAATGGGTTATAACGTGGACTATCTCGGAGCCATTACAGCCATTGAAGAAGGACTACGGGGTTTACACACACAGCTCTCTTCCACGAGTTTGACACACACAATATATGTGAGCGTGATTCTATTTACGAGGGCTTGTTATTGATGTTTGCAGAACTAAACGGTTGGTCGGGAAGTGGCTCGCCTTTAGCTGGAAAACTGTTCGTGGTTATGGGAGCTGGCGGGGCAGGAAAGGCACTTGCCTACGGCGCAAAAGAAAAGGGAGCCAGAGTAGTTGTTGCCAATCGTACCTATGGTGAGAGAGCCAAGAGAATTCACAGTTGTTGTGGTTGATAGCTACCATCTAGATGCGTTAAAATTTGAACCGTCTTGAGCTCCAACTCTTTCCATGTAATTAATGAAGCAGAACGTGATTTCTGTTATTTGTCTTGTCAGCCAAAGCCAGAGAACTTGCTCGTAATGTGGGAGGAGAGGCCGTTCCTCTTTCGGATCTGAAGGATTTCGCCCCTGAAGAAAGGATGATTCTCGCAAATGCCACATCTGTGGGAATGAAGCCCAACATCGATCTCACGCCAATACCAAAGGTTTGGGTCTGACCACCTTGTTGGGAGAGTATTTAAACTGGCTGATATATTTTATACATGTGGAATGAAGAGTTGCGCTGGAATTGACAGGAAGCCCTGAAACACTACTCGCTGGTGTTTGATGCCATTTACACGCCCAAATTGACCAGGCTCCTTCGAGAATCACAAGAAGCTGGAGCTGCCGTCGTCTACGGCACAGAAATGTTCATCAACCAAGCCTTCGTCCAGTTTGAGAACTTCACCGGTTTACCAGGTACCCTGTATATATCTTTCAGTTTAATTTGTACCCTCTCTTTCGCCGCGCGTCCTCTGCAACTCATCCCTATTTTCTTGTTTGGTGGTATTTCTGTCTCAGCGCCAAAGCAATTCATCAGGGAGTTGCTCGCAAGAAATACATGAGGAGAAGAATCTTTGGCACCACAATATAAAGCATGGCAACAAGTTGCCGGCCTTTTCTTGTACTGTAGCAATAGTTTTTCCCTTCGGTGGGTAAGTAGACAATTGATGAAAAATTGTTCATCTTGGTGGTAAAGTAATGTATTCTTTCCCCTTTGGTGAGTGAGTAGGCAAGTGTAGTTGAACACGAAGCATGTGGCCAACGTTTTCACATTCACTTGTTACTTATGCTCAAAATCGGCGTTTTGTACGTACATGATAGATTTTGTTGGGCCTGGGAGCATAACATTTTCCCCCGCACCGAGCCCATACTTTAAAACTGGTAGCTATCTATAATAGCTTGGCCCAATAACTCACCATCTAGCTAGCATCACCATACAGTTTTAAAATTAAAAAAAAAAAAAATAAACTGATTTGTTTCACCATTACGGATCTAAAACAACGACTTGGATTCTTCCATTGCATTCATTGCCCTCTCTTGAAAATTTTAGAGAGAATATTAGTAAAGAGTTTTGGAAGCAATTTAATTTTATAAAAAGACTTCTAAGAAGTAAACATTAACAACTAATAAGTGAAGTTATTATTTTAATAAATATCTATTTTGTTTACATTTTTATTAGATATTAAATTCATTCAAAAGTTTTTCATTGATATTCTCTCAAAACTTTATCAGTTCTGACTCTTAGCTTCCTCCTTTACACTGAAGACCCTTGCACTACAAGTAATCTCAATTGCATTTTCTTATCTTTCTCTTTAAAATTCAATTTCTCTTATGGCCTTCACTTTTCTTTTTGCCAGCTGGAATTCCCTCATAAATGTTCTTGTCTTCCCCATAATTTTGTTTATATTTTTCTTTTATTTACCATCCATCTCATGTCTGGTTTTTTGCCATTCTTTTGCTTTCTTCTTTATTTTTGAAATTAGTATTCTATATTTCTATTCACGTCCTATTTCCACTTACCTCCTCTTGAAATGTTCTTGGAGTTGGAGATGAGATTAATTGAAAATTGAGAAGATGAACAAAAAGAAAAGGGGTGAAATTCATATTAATGCTCCAACTTGTGGCATGATGTGCTCATGCATATTAAATTGTCGGTGTTTGGCGTCCTTTCCCTAAAGGCACTTACGGCATGATGTGCCTGTTTAACTTTCGATGTTGTCACCTTGATGACTTCATTGTACTAGTGGCCTGTTTGGTAATGCATTATAGGACCCAAAACATCTCTTCAAACTTGTGTACTGAAGGATCAGGGGTCTCTCCCTTTTTTTTCCTCCATTTTCCTTCACTTTCCTCATCTTCACCAGACTTCACTTTCTGGACAGAAAGTGAATTCTTATTAAGCGAATGGCCAATTTTTCTTCTCCTAGCATCTTAGGATAACCAGTTTAACAGATTTTAAGAAAAATCACACCCAAGTTCCTCAAAACAAATGTAACTATCAGTTCAACCTAATGGTGAAATTCATTTCACACCACTTGCATCGACATGTGTAAGGACTTTCTTACTACTTCACAATTAACCTCTAATATCGAAATAATCACAAAAATAACTCAAATAAATTATTAAATTTGTAAAATTTTTATAAATAGGATGCCAAGTTTTTAAAATTTATAATGCTATGAAATAATATAAAATAATTTTAAAAAATAAAATCAAAGCAAGACATGTATACGAAAATACGGACATCATATAAAGTAAGATAATATCAAATTGGAGTAAAAAAATAAAACAAATATTTTGACAAAATATGCTGCAACATAAAATTTTATGTTGTAACATAAATTGCAGAACCCATGATAGTATGGTAGATTTCCTGACTGAACTTTCAACACCACCAAATCTTCATTCGACATTCAATTAAGGTGATGCAGGCATCTATAAAAAACTTTCTTCGAAATTTAGCTAATGCCATTGATTTCACATTTAAATCATTTCTTAATCAAAAATTAAATACCAAAAAGCAAATTCACTTTTTTATGCTTTCAAAACATAATTAAGGTGTTCAAAACTCAAACCAAGTGCTAAAAGCTCATACCAACTCTTAAACTACACTCAATAGATTATAATGGACATGTGCAATACATCACAACATTCAAACAATACCTATATTACATTTTTACTGCTCAACCCCTGATCACAAGCACACAAGGGGGAGCCAAAATACGTAATTTCATATTTAAATCATCATCATTTACAAATATACTTAGAGTTATTACCAAGTTTGCAATCAACTTGATAACAGGAGAAAGACGTGAGATGAGAGGGAAAGGTTGATTCATCTTGGCAGTTAAATCGTGAGTCCAAAACCAAATATGTTTTTAAAATTGAAGTCATTTTGGTCAATTGCCAAAATACCTAAATTACGTGTAAGGATCTACGGAATTGCAGAAGAATTTCTACGTTTTTAAATTGAAGTCATTTTGGTCAATTACCAAAATACCTAAATTACGCGTCAGGATCTACGGAATTGCAGAAGAATTTCAATGTTTGGGGAGAGACTTGCTTCTTGTTGCATTTCTTGTGTGGGGCTAGGTGTATGAATTCCCCTAGATTTCACCAACACATGCACCGGAGACCAAGTAAAGTTTAAATTTAACTGCATAATGAGATTGGGTTCCGTGCATTGCAAGGCAATTTATAACGAACGTTAGTCAACTATTTCCGGCACATGCCCACCTTTGAATGGGCATAATATGCAGGTCAAATCTTTTTGTTTTCTTTTTTTTTTTTTGGGCCAAGAACGTGATTATCAACTTACGCCAATTGTACTGCATCACGCATCTCGCAATCCCTGGCATGAATTTTGATATTTGAAAAACTATAATTAAAAAGTTAAAGCAATGATAAAAAAATTAATTTAAAAATTTGATCGATACTATTTTATTTTAATTTGAAAACTAAAACTTGAAATATTTCAATATAAATATTATCAATTTTTTTGAAATATTGTCATTTTAAAAAGTCTTCAAAGCAATAAATTTATTTTTTTTCTCTATTTTTGGGTCAATTTTGATCCCAAAAACGGTGATTCGAGGGAAAAATGCATATTGGGCTTGGCCCAAATGAGGCCTGCAAGTGAGTTTTTTAAATCAGGAGGGAAGGTACTAATGGTCTATCTAAGGTTGCAAGTAAGATAAAACTTGTAATCTCCAAGAGAGCGTGGTGTTTTGCCTGTTGTCTGATTTGAAACTTTTTTTTTTACCAATGCTAAAGGTCAAGGTAAGGAATAGAATAGCCATATGCCATAGTTTTTTTTTTAAAGAAGAATATACCATAAAATTTGAAAAGAAAATATTGTACAAACTTACATTAAATAACAATAAAACCTTGAATAAAAAATCTCACATGTTTCGAAATTTCCAGGCAAATCTTAATCATATATAACGTGGCACTTTAACTTCACACGCTATTATTCTATTTACATGGACTAAGTATAAATGAGTTTCATAAACAAGGTACTAATGTCTTGTATAATCATAGCATCTTTTGCATCGGCATTTATTGTCATTGATATAATGATTTAATTAAAATAAGCCAAAATTTGCTGTCTATGCTGTAGGTTGTGCAAAAGTTTTTTAGTTTCATCTGGTTTGATTCAACTTGAGTCAATCCAATTCGATCTCATCTGAATAAGAACTTATTTTTTAAGATCAAAAAGACCATACTTTTTGAGTTGGATTAGATAAGAGACCAAGCATCTAGATCACTTGATCTTATCCACTCTTATAAATTTGCCTAATATAATTGTATTTAATTTAGTAATTATTATAATAATAAGTTAATTTATAATAATAATTAGTATTTTCTTTTATTTTACACTTGTGAATTTATGGATGTTGAGTAAAATGCTAACATTGACTAACCTTAATTTTCTCCTTTTATTGGTGAAATTATAATTTATAATTTTATAACTTATCAAATATAGGTAGATCCTTGTTAAATTAGATATAAATAAATTCAAAAGTATCTGTATTTGCATCTATAATTGTCGACCTTTTTATAAAAAAATAGTCTCAAATCATATTTTATGTATGTGAATTATTTAAAAATAAAATTGACTTTTAGTAAGATATAATTTTTAACTTTTTAAAGTTTTTTGAAATTTTTTTAATATTATGTTTAAAATCACAAATTTTTTAAAAATCATTTTAATTCTCGATTCAACTTCAATTTTTAACTCAATTTTAATTTAATTTGGGTCAATTATGAAAATTATTATTTGATTTAAAACAAGCTGTTAATATTTTTGGTTGACGGTTTGACCGTTAAACTCAGTTTAGTTTTTAAATTATTGCCAAAGATTAATTTCTTAATGAAAAAATCAGTGAGTCTTTGACCAAAGTTGATAATAGCTGTAGACACTACAAATAAAAAATAAAAACCATGTTCTCCTTTTTTATTGAATAAAGTTTAAATGTCTCGTGTAATCATAGCATTGTTTACTTTGGCATTTAGTGCATATTTAAATGAGAGAATGACAATAAAAGATTTATAAAATATATACAGTGAAATGTAGTAATTATTTTAAAATTTTCATAAATTTTTGCATAATTTTAATATTAAAATAATATATTTGCCTATTCCATCTCTTATCCTCACCCAGCCATCCTCGCTCTCCCCTCTCTCATTCCCTTCTTCCCTTATCATCTCCAGTCACATCTCTATCATCTTGAGTCTGAGAGAGGGGGTCTAGGTGAGCACGAGGGGAAAAATAGGCAAATGTGTCATTTTAGTAAAAATTTAAAATGATAGACAAATTTGTAAAGACTTTAAAATAATTATCACATTTTATATACTTATTTATTATTTGTATATTTTGAAAATATTTTATCATCATTCATCTTATGTAATTCTCAGTTTGTGAAAAATCTATCGAAAATTTATCTGTCAAAAATCTCAACTGTATATCTAAATTAAATTTGAAGAGTCGAAATCTTGGCGAAGAAACATGACAGCGTCAACGCTCACAGGCTATAATTAAGGCATCTAATGATTTGGCACTCTATGACGCAAACCACCATCACTTGTGTATTAATATTTCAGCATGATAATAAATGACTTGCACTGGGAAGGGCGCAATATATAAATAAAATAAAATAATATAATTTTAAATCCCACACTTTATTTACATTTTGTTACAAGCTCTTTTTTTTAATATTTTAAATTTTTAAATTTTTATTTTTTAATATTTTAAGTCCCTACTTTCAAATTCCTTACACTTTATAAAATATTTAAAAAATAAAAATATAAGAACTTATAGCATTCAAAAAATATTAAAATTTATAATAAAACATGAATAAAATATAAAAATTTAAAATTATGTCCCAAATAAAAACGTGGATGACTAGACTAATAAACTCTCGTCTTTGTAAAAAAAAGCAGGCAGAGCCAGAGACTCAGAATTATATAGTAATTATAGAAGATCACGGTCTATTATACTGCTAAAGTTCAAGAGAAAACTGAAAATTTAATGAGCTGCAAGGGGCAACGCGGTTATTTGAAACTTTCGATTGGAATTCAAAAATCTGAAAAATTGAAAGCTCCCGATGGCTCTTCTTACCATGGACTGGAATATTTAAACGGCGTTCCGAGGGCGAAACTCGTTTCACGACCGTTGACTGAGAGACGCGGTTTGAATGATTCGTATTAAAAGAAGGTGATGCGGCAAGCGGCATATTTGTTAGGGTTCAAGGAGCATTGGCAATTGACACATCGCACCGAATGGGAAGCTGCGTCTCGGATTTGAACGGAGGGAGGCAAGCCGTGGGAGGGGTACGCCATTCCGCATCGCCAGGCCCCACACCTCCCCCCGTACACAACGATGCCGTCGATTTCTTTTACAGGTCTCAAGGATTTCAACTTCTCTTCACGCCTCTCGAGGTACCTCATTTTTCACTCTCTCTCTCTCTCTCTTTGCCATAGTTTTTTTTTTTTTTTAATCATCTTCTTCTTCTCAAATCCAACTTATTGCCATGTCGTTATCATGTCGCCTCATGTTATATTGTACTTGTACGGCAGAAATCACAATATCCCGAATTCGCCAACATCTTACGCTTGGAACAAACAATTCCTGTGCTTGCCAACTCGACATGCCTGAGATTGCTTGTTTCTACTGAGTTATCTACAACGTTGAGGGTGGCAGAGTTATAATTATGAAAACAAAACTAATTAACTTTCAAATCTTTTTTTCCCCCAGGCCCCTCCCCACATTCAACATCATCAAATATTAATATGATGGTTAGCCTTTGTCCAAAAAAAACTCTCATGGTTAATATTAAAGGCTCAAAGGTCTCATGTGGGATTAGACTGTGACCTCCTACTGATAAGAAGTTTTCTTGCCCACTAGGCTACAATGCTATTTTTTTTCCCTTTAAAATGGATTAAATACAAACACACTCTACATGTACTTATACATTTACCTCTTCTCTCATTAAAAAAGGAATGACTTTTATTCCAAAGGAAAGAGTAATAAACACATTTACTACATTCACATCCACCCATCCTTTAACCATACTAGGGATATAACTCACGATTTTACTCTTTCAAGGGGATGTGGGGTGCGATTGAATTAAAATGTTTTCGGTAAAGTGTTACACTTTAAATTCATACAATCTTTTTAATCTCATTTGTCAAATGTTTCAACTTTTTACCCTGTTATTATTATTTAGAAAAAATTGATTATCAATCCTTGTAATCTAAATTCAATTGTAATACAGTCCCTGAATTTTAAGTCATTATAATTTAGTTCTTGTAGTTTTAACTCAATTATAATTTAATTTTTAAATTTTAACTCTTACAATCTAATCTTTATAGTGTTAACTATAATAAAATTATAAAGATCAAAATTATTTTAAATTTTAATATTTATGAAAATTAAAAGGATTTAGTAATTTAAAATATTAATTTTAAATTTTAATATAATTCTAATCTTATAATTTTATTTTTTTAAAATGCATGGATTAATATTTTAAATGTTTAAAATTATAGGGATTGAGCTGTAAAAGTCAAAATTTAAAAATTTGGTTATGTTACATTCAAGTTAAATATATAAAAATTGAGTTGTAATAAGTAAAAGTTTAAGAATTAAATTATAATTAAATTAAAATTATAAGGATTAAATGATTTTTTTTATTATCAAATGATTATTTTTTTATTATTTAAAAGCACGTTTTCACATATTTGGGAGCTCCACCCCCCCCCAGCCAAATATATGTGCATTTGTTTGCCTTGAAACTTTGTAGAGTTGTAAGAGCATTAATGGTTTTGCAACCTTGTGCTGCAGCTATCTCTATCTGCAAACGACTTACGTGACCGGGACATTGCATCAAAGGTATTGATTTTCAGGTTGCATGCGCTGTCTACATGAAAGGTCCCTTGCTCGTTCCTTGTGATTGGCCTGTCTTAACTAGTCCACCTGAAATACAAAATAAGTTACTCAGATTTTCATAAAACTTTTTTGAAATTATATAAAGTTTTCATTTTTAAGATATATATTTTAGTATTATTGTCAACACATTAAAATACAGTCTAATTTATGAAAGAGGGGCATATAATTTTTTTTTTTGGAATGTAAACTGGATACAAACATTACCAACTGAACAAAATAGAAACAAACAAAACAAGCAAAGCAAAAGCAAAGCAACCGTCAATCATCAACCCCCATCTCTTGGAATGAAAGATGGCAATTGATCAAAGACACAAAAAGCTCTACTGCTATTGTGAGACCAATTAGAAAGGGCAAAAGCCAAAAAGTTGGATTCGCAGGACATGAAATTGATGGTAACAGACCATTGCCTTTCAAACATTGCTTTGGCTTCTTCAATCACTTCTTGTTACAAATGGATGAATTTAGAACTTCTTGTGATGAGGTTCAAAGCTTCCACACTATCCATATAAGCTTCTATAGCTTTGTATCCTTTGTTCTAACACAAGGTAAGACCTTGTATCAAACCTACGATTTTAGCAATTGTTGGGAGTACTGAAGCAAGTTTGCAACTGAAACATCATAACCATTTTGCATTGCTTTTATGAGTGACCCCTCCACATCCACATTGACCATTATTAAAGGATTGACCCATCAACATCAAACCTAACGAGGTCTCTCTTTGATGGTTTCCACTTACTTTGGTCATTTTTGATGTGTCTGTGCAGTTCATGGCTAAGTTATAGATTTATATCACAACACCTATCCATCTAGATATCCCGACATATATATCCAAACAAAATAGACCATTGGATCTTCTAGTTAAAAGGTTTACCTCTATCATGTGTTAGGTTCCAATTTATCCAATCAACTCCTTGAAGTTCAAAGAAAGTTTGCTGATGTTCTTGATCTACCATTGGTTTCTAGTATTCTCTAACATTAAGGCAGTCTCGTAGGAGGTGCATTAAGTCTTCTTGTGCCCCACATGTGAACCGCAATCAGCTGAGTCTAACAGCCCTTTTTAACTTTAAATTGTTGTGTACATGCTCTTCCATAAGTGAATAGCCACATTAAGGATTTTATTTTTGAGAGAATTACAATTAGGTGCCACACAAAGAAATTAATTACTGCAAGGTCTCTTGATAATTGAACTGAATTGCATTGACAACACAATTAGTTGTCAATATAGTTTAGTTTAGTTATCAATAAATCTTACAATAATTAATTTCTTTGTTTGTGACTTTAATGTAATTCTCCTTTTATTTTTTCAGGTATCTGCCATCTACAGAGTTTTCTCTAAACATTATCTACTGATGCTTCATTACTTGCAAAAAGAAAGTGACGTGCAGAGTTTATAGTAAATGAACCATTCGAGGATGGCTTCTATGTGAAGATGTCCTCTCTTCTCTCCTCTTGGGGTAGGTGTCCATACATTGTACGATCAACCACAGGGGCATTGAACTAGTTATGTAGCTCTACTCTATTCCACGCACCCCATATATTCACATAGTTGCTAACTATCTCATTATGTGAAATAAAACCTTCCAAGCTAGGTATAAGATTAATTAGAAGGCTTTACAGTTTAGACCAGTTGTCAAATTTGAAAGATGTGGTTATGCTATTGCTAATTTTCTTTTTCAAACCTTTTTTTGAAATTTTCCTAGACTGCACAAATTCCCCTTTAAGTGGCTAAAGATCTTTACTTCTTCTTTACAATAGGCACTGGTGCATCTCTATAATTATATTTACTTCTAAGGACTTGCATCTAGAGTGCATCCCTTTTGTGTAGAATTTTCCAGTATAACTTCATCATCTGAACTTCATTTTAGTTAAGAAGGTTTTTCATACTTGAGCCTCCCTTGTTCTTGTCTTTAGTAATCACCTCTTAGGATAATTGATGAAGTTTTCTTATCTCATCATTTCCTCCCCAAAGAAAATTATGACAATCCTTTTCTATCTCCTAGAGAAGTTTTTTGGGAAGAAGAATTATCAGCATGCAGTAGGCTGGTAAAGCAGATAAGATAACTTTAATTAAAGTTGTTCTACTACTAAAGTTAGATACTTTCCAACTTGATAGCCTTTTCCTTGACTTTACTAGAAGAGGAGCAAAAGTAACATAAGAGGCTCTTTTATATAGTAAGGGGATACCCAGGTACTTCCTCAAATTACCTGTTAGTCTAACTCCCATCAAACTACTTAACTCCATGTCCCTTAATAAATGCACATTAGATGACACACACATTTTTGTCTTACTAAAGTTTATCTTTTGACCTGAGGCAAAACAAAAGCGATTCATGCAATCCATCATGGTCTTAACTGGATCAATGGATGTTTCACTAAAGAGAACAGAATCTTTTGTGAAGAAATGTGAGATAGATTCATTTCTCTAGTATTTAGTTAGATTAGCTTCCATGATTCACCTCTTGTTACATCTTTTATCATATGATTCAAGCGTTCCATACAAATAATGAAAATATAAGGGGATATAGGGTCCTTCTATCTTATTTTATGTGAGGGTTGGAACAGTTTAATAGGTTCTCCATTCCATGGTATTTGCATAGTGGATGTATGAATATATGACTTAATTACACTACAAGATTTCTCATCTATGCCCATAAGCTTCAAGTAGTCTTAAATAAAATGCCACTTAAGACTATCATAAACTTTTTCTAAATCAACTTTAACTGCCATAAAACCCTCGTTACCTTTCTCATACTTCATAGAGTTGACTACTTCCTGAGCGATGTTGATATTGTCATTACTCTGTCTATCGGCTATGAAGCTACATTGATGGTTGCCAATGATCTTCCCCATAATGTTCTTCAGTCTTCTAGTAATGATCTTCATCACCACTTTATAGTTGACATTGCCATAAGAGATTTGTCTAATATCTCTCATATCTTTGGGCTTATCAATCTTTGAGATTAGAATTACAACAACAATAATAACAAGTCTTATCTCATTAGGTGGGGTCGGCTATATGGATTATATGATGTCATTGTACTCTATCATTTATTAAGTTTTTAGGAATATTATTAATTAAAAGATTTCACTCAACAACCTCCAAAATTATTCTCTTCGGTCTTTCTCTACCCTTCTTGATAGGGCTCAAAGTCATTTGTTCTACTCTCTTTATATGTGCCTCCTATGGTTTTCTTTGTACATGTCCAAATCACCTTAAACGATTTTCTACCATTTTTTTTCAATAGGTGCCACACTCACTTTTTTCCTTATTCACTCATTTCAAATTTTGTCTTTACGTGTATATCCATACATCCATATCAACATTCTCATCTCTGCTACTCCAACTTTATGTTCTTGCTATATTGTCAAAGCCCAACATTTACTACCATATAAAATTACTGGTTTTATAGCAATTCGATAAAATTTTCTTTTAAGCTTATCAAGTATCTTACGATCGTAAATAACTCTTTTAGCCTTTCTCCAATTAAACTATTCTGCTTATATTTTATGTATAATATCTCCATTAATGTCTCCATTTTGTTGAATAATTGCTCCAAAATATCTAAACTTTTTCACTTGAGGTATGGTCTAATTACCCAATTTCACTTCTAAGTGCTTCTTATCAAAATTACAATGTAAATATTTTATTGTACTCCTACTCAGTCAAAAACTTTTTAACTCTAATATCTTCCTTCATAACTCAAGTTTACAATTTATCTCTTCTTTTATGTTTACAATAAGAACTATATCATTTGTAAAAAGCATGCATTTAGAAATTTTCTCTTGAATATGCTTAGTTAAAATATTTAACACTAGATCAAATAAATAAGGACTCAAAGATAATCCTTAATTCAATTCAATCTTTATAGAAAAATCTGTTATTTCACCACTAAGCGTTCTTATACTAGTTGTTGCCCTCTCATACATATCTTATATAGCTCAAATATAGGCAACTCAGACACTCTTCTTTTCCAAAGCCTTCTAAAGTACTTTTCTCAGTACATGATCATAAGCTTTTTTCAAATCAATGAAAATTATATGTAAATTTTTGCTTTTACATTGATACTTTTTCATTAATTCTATTAGTAGATAAATCACTTCTATAATTACTCTCCCTGGTATGAAGCCAAGCTGATTCTTTGATATCCCAGTTTTCAATCTCAACATACATATGCTCAATCACTCTTTTCCATAATTTTATAGTATAACTCATAAATTTAATCTCTCTGTAGTTAACATAATTCTAAATATCTCCTTTATTTTTATGAATAGGAACTAAGATGCTTCTCCTCTAATCATCCGACATTCTCTTAGATTGTAAGATTTCATTAAATAACTTAGTTAACCACCGTACTCCTTCTTCACCCAAACATTTCCACATTTTAATAGGGATATGATTATGTCCATTAGCTCTATCATTTTCCATTTTCTTAAAAGCTTTTCTCACTTCCCAAGCTCATATTCTTCAATAAAAAGATAAATTTTGCTCTCTTTTAGAAGTTACTAAATCTTCTAAGTTAATTGACGACCTCCATCATTATTGAAAAGCTTAGAAAATTATGTCTCCCATCTGTCTTTAATATTATCTGTGACCAAAACATTTTCCTCTTCATCTTTTATATATCTTACTTGTTTTAAATCTCTTGATTTTCTTTTCTTACTCTTAGCAATCTTATAAATTTTTCATTCTCTATCCTTTGTCCCAAGACTATTATAAAACTCTTTAAATGCTTTAGAACGAGCTTTACTCACAACCTTCTTAGTTTTCCTTTTAGCCATACGACACTTTTCTTAATTTTCGTCATTATTACACAAATGAATGGCTTTAAAACACTCCTTTTTATACTTGATTTTTTCCTGTACACTATCTTTCCACCATCAAGAATCATTATCTCTCGAACCAAAACTTCTTAATTCTCTCAAAACTTCTTTTGCAACCTTCCTTACCTTCACAGCCAAGTCTTCTCATAAGGTATTAGCACTTCCTCAACACTCCCAAATTCCTTCGGCCAAGAGATTTCTCTTGAAAATTTCTCTCGTTTTACCTTTTAATTGCCAACACCTTATCCTTAGAGTTATTACTTGTCAACGCTTTCGATTTGTACTCATAATACATACATCAAGGACAAGGACCCTCTATTGTGTCATAATAGCATCCCCAAGAATCACCTTATAGTTTTTACAAAGTCTTCTATTTACATTCCTTATAAAAAAAATCAATCTATGATCTTAAAGCTCCTCTTTTATAAGTGATGAGATGTTCATCCCTCTTCTTGAAACAAGTATTAGTAATCTTGAAATCATACGCCAAAGAGAAATCTAGGATATATTGTCCTTCATTATTTAGTTCTCTAAAATCCAAACCACCATGCACCCTTGTATAATGGCCTGCTTCCCTTCCTCTCGATATGTCCATTAAAGTCTTCTCCAATAAAGATCTTTTAATGAGATTAGAACTAAATGAGTTTTATTTAACAAGGTTCCCTTGGAAGGATATTCAAAAATCTCTTCAACCATTTTACAGAGCAAATCTCCTATAATGTGCCAGTAATCTCAGTATAGAAACACTTGTATTCTGTCTAGGCTCAATGCTTTAAAGGGCCTCATGTCAAAGAGGGCTTCTTTAATTTCTCCATCCCTAAGTTCTGCATGAAGGCCTTGTAGATCAAGGCCATTGAGTGGGTTGTAAGTGTTTTGTGTTCTCAAAACCTCATTATTACATTCACTACTAAACAAATCAATATAATAATCTTTGGCCAAACATTTCAACTCTCTCTAATCAAGGAGCCATTTGCCGTTCTGGTTCTTAAGACTTTCAATTCTATTTCTTCTTCTTCTAACCATTGTGGAAGCATGAAAGTAACTACTATTTTTGTCTCCCCATGTGAGGTACTTACATTGTGATTTTTGATACCAAAGAAGTTTTTCCTGAGCAAGCATGTTATTGTAGTTTTTCCATAATTCCTTCTCAACTTGGACGAGGTGAAGACTGTCCCTTCTACTTCCAGCTTTTTCCACTCCTTCAATTCTTTTGGCCAAGCTTCTTTTCTGCATTGAATTATTGCCAATTCTATTTTTGTTCCAATCCACACTCTTTTTTACAAAACTGTTGACATTTTCAGACCTCTCAGGGGGTCCGAAAATTTTAGTAAACGTCATGAAACGTTTGTTAATTCATTCTAATTTATTTTTTTATTTAGAGTGATCCCATGGCGGTTGTATTTTTAAAGAAACGAGATGGAAAGCTTGAAGAATTGGGTCGCACGGAAGTCATAATGAACTCTTTGAATCCTGAGTGGATCGAGAAAATTAGTGTTGCGTTTCAGTTCGAGATTGTGCAATCACTAGTGTAAGCTATCCTTGGTCTTGCATTGCCAGTATTTAGACATATATATAGCATGTGTTCACTATATGCATATGCCGTGATAGCTTCCTTTTTAATATGATTTTTTTGTTTCATTTTGCCTCTCTTACGTACAGATTTCATGTGTATGACATTGATACCAAGTACCATAACGTCCCCACTAAGGTTTGCAGTAAAACTTCTCTTTCACAATTTTTATATAACTGAAGCACGAGTTCTGCCTCATGGTAGTTCAATCAGGATTTTATAGTGATTTCGATTAAGTAAACACAAGCGGAAGCCTTGTAACTAGTAGTTCCCATCAAGAAGGAAAATCTTGAGCTGTTGGTGCTGGGTGTGTGCGCGTGTGTAAAATATTCGCTTTAGAAGTTCTGAATTACTACATATTATTGAAATCACGTAATGTACGTCTATATCATACAGTACTTACTATATATTTAGCAGGCACGTAGCTAATATTGTATCCGGCCACTTTCACAGATATGAGATTGACCAGAAACAATGTTTTTCTTTTTCTTAGTACCATGTCGCAAAGGAGAGCCGTAGTTTAGAATTTTGGCTTCAATGCGTTGATGGACTTTCAAGTCTTTTTCTTAGTACAACGTTTTTCTTTTGATTTGGTTAAATCACCATGCATTAATGGTTTTATCAGGTGAATATGTTTTATTCATTTCCAGTGATTAACAAGCAACTTGTCATTGGGAAAATTGCATTTTATCCTCTGAATTAAAGATTATTATAAAATTACAGCATAAACTTCAAAACGAAATAAAACTTTGTTCTTGCAGACACTAAATTTGAAGGATCAGGATTTTCTTGGCATGGCAAGTTGCACTTTATCTGAGGTAAGTTCTCTGGCATAGGACCGAGGCGTTTCTTTTTCGGAAGTAGAGCCTTCTTAACGTGGTGTAACATGTCCATACTCTTAATTCTTTCAATGCACAAAATGAAGAGGAAATTGTTAAAAGCATGAAAAAGTCATTCTCTGTTCGACATTAAAATCTCCCTTCTTCCCTCTGAGGCAGATAGTGACTAAACAAAGCCGCAGATTAACCCTTAGGCTCCAAAAGAAAATCGGGCATGACGGTAGAAGAAACCTTGGGACGCTTACTATTCATGCTGAGGAGACTTTTAATTCAAGGACTTCTGTTGAGATCTCGTTCCGTTGTTCCCGCTTGGACAACAAAGACGTCTTTTCCAAAAGTGTATGTAGCTTCATGTCCCTTGTTTATCATTGCGTGCTTCTGCTTCTGCTATTTTAAATTCTTCATTCTAATTTTTCTTACAGGATCCTTTCTTAAGAATATCAAAATTAGTTGAGGGTGGAGGATCTGTTCCAATTTGCAAAACTGAAGCCATTAACAACGATTTAAATCCAATATGGAAGCCAGTTTGCCTTGGGTTTCAGCAGTTTGGAAGTAAAGTAAGTTTGTCGTCTTAGGGCGCTTGTCATTCGATGATAGATTGTCTCACTATTACTATTTATAAATATATATATATATATATATATATTCTTAAAAAATATAAAAATAACATTATAGTACGTCTGGACTGTCTAGTTTTGATCTGGACAATCCCGCAACTGATTTCATATATATATATGTATGTATATATATATCAGGCGATGAGCACTGCGACTGATTTTATTTTACATTATATTACTTAAATTACAGTTCTTTGGTGTTCATTCACTCTTTTTCTCCCTTTCAATATCCTGTGTGCAGGATAACCCATTACTTATTGAGTGTTTTGATTTCAATAGCAGTGGCGACCATGTGCTTATTGGGTAACTAAACCTATTGAACGATGGATTTCTTACTAATAGTATCTTTTTTCTCATTCACTTCTGTCGGCTATCACTTTCTAGATTCCTGTTTCCTGATGAAATAAGCATTGATATAAAATTTCGTGACCAGTAAAATGCAGAAGTCTGTTGCAGACCTTGAAAAACTCTACAAAGAGAGAACCGGTGAAAATTTTGTTGCGCCATCTAATCACAGGACACATGAGAAGGTGCCTTCTTAACGCTAGCAGCAGAATTAATTATTATTGCTACTGATCTGCTTAGCCTAAAATTGCTTATTAATTTTTCTCTATATAGGTTCTGAAGGGGCAACTGTACGTGGATCGATATCTCGAAAAGGAGCAGTTTAGCTTTATTGATTACATATCTTCTGGATTTGAACTCAACTTCATGGTTGCAGTAGATTTCACGGGTAGGTAAAATTTGCTGCATTGAAAAGAAGGGAATCACTTTTTAGTTCAATCTTAGGTTTGAACTTAACTAAGGGCTTCAAAATTTGTCCAGCTTCCAATGGAGATCCTCGACGTCCAGATTCCTTGCACTGTATAAGTTCACCTGGCCAGTTTAATGCATACCAGAAAGTAAGCAAAAAATTTTACCGTTCATTTGTTTAATCAAAAGAAAGTAAGCAAAATACAATAGAAGAAAATACTTTCTACTTGGTATCATTTGCATATTAATGAAGATTAAAATAGTAAACTTGTTTCTTGGCGATGGGACTCAGGCATTAAGAAGAATAGGGTGACATAATAATCTGATGGCCAGTGCACTTCTTTAATTAATGGAATAATTTTTGTAGGCTATAATGGAGGTTGGGGAGGTCATTCAGTTCTACGATTCGAATAGACGCTTCCCTGCTTGGGGCTTTGGAGGAAGGACAGACGATGGTACCATTTCCCACTGTTTCAATTTGGATGGCAATTCAGGTGCCTCAGAGGTAATAGGTTTCTTCATTATTCTCCACAAGTGTTCTAGTAAATCTTCAAGCTATGATGCTTGTCTATTCTTGAGATTGAAAATGCAGTAAGGAGGATTATGTCATCTAAAGTACTGTATTGACAGTTTCCGAAACTTGATGGTTCTGCCTCATCAATCAATTTTGCTGTTTCTGCGATATGTGGCAGTGTTCTATTTCTTTTGTGCACCCATTTCTTATCCATAGTTGGTTTCCATTTCTTTAGGCAATGTTCTATTTCTATTGTGCACCCATTTCTTATCCAGAGTTGGTTTCCATTTCTTCAGGTTGAGGGAGTTGAAGGCATAATGGCTGCGTATGCAAGATCTCTACACAATGTCACTCTGGCAGGACCCACTCTATTTGGACCTGTGATAAACATGGCTGCGCAAATAGCTGCTCGTTCCCTTTCGCGTAATAGCTCCAAGTATTACGTATTGCTTATTATCACGGTGAGAACTCAAGATATTTGGTACGTGCTTTTGTCATGCGTGTCTCTTTTAGATGGAATGAATAACCCAATGAAATGTTATCCTTTCCTTAGGATGGAGTTGTTACAGACCTTCAAGAGACAATTGATGCTCTGGTCAAGGCTTCTGACCTGCCCTTGTCGGTTCTTATAGTTGGAGTTGGAGCAGCTGATTTCACGAGCATGGAGGCAAGTTTAGTTTCTTTCCTATTTTTATAATCTTTTAGAGTCGTTAATGTCGCTAGCAGGGAATTGCCTTTCGTCATAAAAAATTGTCTCAACTACGAAGTGCATTCCTTGGCAGGTATTGGATGCTGATAATGGACGTAGGTTGGAAAGTTCTTCAGGTCGTATTGCTACAAGGGATATAGTGCAGTTTGTTCCAATGCGAGAAGTGCAGAGTGAGTGCTGAGTTGCAATTTTCTTCCCCCCCCCCCCCACAAAAAAAATATATATATATCAAATGAAATTTAATATTTAAGTGCTTTCTTTCTTTCTTCTTTTGGGTATTTTGTGTTTATCTATCTTATACTTAACAAATTTAGTATGCTGCTAATTGAATCTCGGAGTTCTGTTATTTTTTGTTCATGTGGGTGTGGGTTGGCTAATCTCGTTTCTGATCGAGGGGAACATTTCATTGTAATGTTTTGAACAGGTGGAGAGATTTCGGTTGTACAAGCTCTTCTGGAAGAACTACCACAGCAATTTTTGACTTTCATGAGAAGTAGGGATATCCAGCCCATTAACCATCTTGCTCCATTGCCTCGTGCATCCACTAGTCAATAGATTTCAACTTCTACACCACCAACCCTCCAACAAACCCCCCCCCCCAAACCCAAAAAGGAAAAAAAAAAAAAAAACCCTCTTTAATGCTTATAAATTCCGTGATGGTTAGTTCTATTGCTGATGGATTTTTTCCCCCCGGAGAAATGAATTGTAAGTAGAAGTTTGAATTTTCTCTATCAAATTTATTAGGTTCCCTTATTTGGCATTTTTAGAGCAAAATCCAAAATCATAGAATTATTTAAAATAAATATCAATGTACTCTCTTCATTCTCAATATAAAGTGTTTTTAACCGAATTACGTAAATTAATAAAAGTTTATTATTAAATTAAAATTCCATTAAATTATAGTATTTTTTTAATTTTACTCCCAATAATATTAATTATTATCATAGTGGTGGTAAGTAAATCACATAATTAATATCTCTTTTTTTTTAAGATAAGGGTAAAAATAAAATTATCAATTACTTAAAAATATCATAACATTTATTAAATTAAAATTGACGAGCTCTTGTTATGATAAATAGTTTTAAAATGACTTTAAATGTCATTCTCTTGATATAAACCTTTTAGTTGTAAATCACATGAAGTGATTTGTAAAACTTAGATGCATGATTTGAAAGCAACATAATAATTTATAATTACTTTAAATTTAATGGGTTAAAGGGTAAAAATATTTTAAATATTTTTTGAGAGTAGTAGTAGATACCTCTACTTTTTCATTAGAGCATTTGTCCGAAAACTTAAAAAAAAAAAAAAGGAAAAAAAGAAGAAGAACAGAGAGCAATTTCGGCCATCGTGGTCGCAAGTTCAGGTTCACGGTTAAACAAGGTTGTTTGACCAAGCAAAATAACAGGGGGCCCACGCGGAGGACATATGGACCCAACTGACACCCCGACCGTTGAGATTCTCTGTCCACACTGCAGTGAAATTGTGGTGGTGACAGAGGCGGTGATGAAGGAAAGGGCGATAAAGTGGGTGGTGGTGGTGGTGAGGTCGATGGAAGCGGAGATCTCGTGCAATTGGATGATGAGGGAGAATCTGGTCATGGAGTTGCATACTTGATCGGTGGGGCTATCTAAATCTTCGGGAAGCCATATCTGAATCAAGGATCTCGTACTGTTGGAGCTTGAAGAAGCCATTTCTAATTCAAGGATCAAAAATTTCCCAACGTGATTCCCAAAACGACGAGCCAGGCAAACAGATCTGTAAGCAAAGACTTAAAGAACAAAACTGTAGTCCAATAGGGGCTGATGAAAAATTTCTCCGATGAGTTGAGATTTAAATAAGGATTGAAAAGTTTAAGATTATTTTTTTTCTTTATTGGTTGATTTTTCTTTGGAGATTAGATATGAAGCTTGAGTTGGGTTTAGGATGTGTGTTGTGAAATGATGGATGTTGCAGAGAACCCAAGGAAGAAGAAGAAGAAGAAGTTGGGGTTAGAGGGCTTGGGAGGATGAAAATGGAGCTAGAGGACAGAATGGTGGATTTGTTTTTTTAAAAAAATAGAAAACATCAAGTGGCAAGAAACCGTAAACAAACGGTCGCATCAATGATGGGGTTAACTTGCTTTTTTTTTTTTTTTTAATATACATAGTTTCACAATAAAATTGCTTCAATTAATTAAAAGATAAACTCAATTTTCATTTAAAAAACTTTTGAGAATATTTTTTTCCCTTAATCTAAATTTATATTTGTAACTTACTCATTTCAGACCATAATACAAAATATCTTTTAAAAATTTTATCTAATTCAAAATATAAAATATTAAATAATTTTTATATTTATTTTTTAATTATATCCATAATTGATTTATTATTTTTTTTAAAAAAGCATGCATTAAAATTTTAGTTACCACTATTAAGTCTTTTATGAAAGATATTTAATAAGAGTATAAATAAAAAAATGTGAATATTTTTAAGACTTTAAAATTTCAATTAACATTATTCATAAATCATGAATTAATTAACTATGACTACATTATAATTCGGAGGAAGTATTTTTTTAGAACTCAAATGTTAATAAATTGATTTTTTTGAGATCAAAGTGTCTTTTGACCTTAAGAAATATTTCCAATAAAAAGAAAACTATTACTCCATTCGTATTACAATATATGATATTTTTTTAAAGTTTTTTTTATCTAAAATATAGGATATTGAAAACTTTTATAATTAATCTTTTAACTATATTCTTACTTCATTTATTAATCATTTTTTTAAAGAAAATATGTATTAACATTTTAATTATCTTTATCAAAGCACTTATATAGAATATTTAATAAGAGAATAATTAAAAATATGTAAATTTTTTTAAGAAATTTAGGTTTTAAGTAACATTTTTGGATAATCATAAATTAGTTATCAATGCTCTATGTTATGGTCCAGAGGGAGTATGTCTTTAACATTAATAAAAAATAACAATTAATAATAAATATTAACAAATTACGTTACGTTTTCAGGCCTAAGAATAACACTATACTATTCACATGTCGTACGGGCATATTTTTCCTTCTTATTTATTCTATTAAATAATTGGGTCGGGCCAAAAATACTAATGATTAGTATGTCAATTTTGCAAGGTAGAAGAAAAATTATGGCTGATTAAAAGATGTAAGATGACAAAAAATGAAAAATAGACAAGCGCAGTCCGGGAAATACTGAGTTCAAACAACGGCCATAGATTAGAGTTCTTAGACAGGTCTGCCGGGCTCTATGGAAAGCACGTTGTCGCAGAATTTTTGAAGACGGGATGTCGTGCATCAATGCACATATTCTATCATGGAAGAATCCAACCGTGACAAATACAGACACAATATTTCAAGGATCTACAAATGTATTGGATTAGATCAATGGATTCCTCCTCCACCGGGTGAAGTGCAGCTGGACGTTGATGCATCAGAAAATCAGGCGGGCAACGCTGCTTGTGGAGGATTAGTGGGAGATGAGCAAGCTGACTGGGTCATTGGTCTTCAGCAGAAGATTTGGGACAACATCAATATTGGAGACAGAAGTTTGTCAACAAAGAGGTGTTCAACGCCTACAGGTTTTCTCTGATTCCCCAAATGCGATTCTGTCATCCCCTCAAACAACTGGTCAGCGATATCAGAGATTTAATATACAATGAGTGGATTATCTCAGTCAATCATTCCCCCTGGGAGTTCATTTGCTGTGCAGACCATATTGCTAAGGCAGGAGGCTCATCTCACCGCTTGTGACTTTCGACTGCTTCATGGTCGTCCTGCATCTTGCATGGAGTTAATGGTCGCTGATAAGAGCAATCTCTACTGTGCTCTTTTGTCCTTTTCAAGCTTGCTTGCCACTTGTAATTAAAAAAGAAAAAAAAAAGATTAAGGATTCAGAAAAGGATTTAACGACAAATATACGATGTGATAAAACAATCTCGTCTTCAAATCGAAATGAGCTAAATATTGATGATGACATTGCAAAATTTTACTGGGAATTTATTACTTGAACATAAATACTACAACCCTCGGGACAGTTACAAATTGATGGCTACAAGCCAACAAGAATTGTAACAACGTAGTGTCTTACAAGATACAGATTAAGAAGAACAATCACGCCTCAGCCAGGCTTGGATTTGGTTGCAATAAACGATCGTCTTGTCGAAGGGGGGAAAATAACCTCCCCCACATTGTGAACGAATCCTCTATCATAAGTATTATTCTTCTTCGGAATATCCACCGTATCAGGAGATGATCTTGGAAAAAGGGCTTTCCATTTGCTTTTACCACTCATACTTTCCCTTGGGACCGCATCAGTGGACTCTGCTTCATTTAGCTTCCTCTGACAGCTAATGTACTCTTGCCATTTAAAGGTCTGGAATCAAACAAAATAAACCAATAATTTCATTTAAGTAAACAAGACCGCTCAAAAGCATCATGGGATTCTCCGCTTAGACCACCATAGACTAGTTGATGGCAGTACGGTAGAGCAGATGTAGCTGCAACTGCTGCTTTTTATATTCACATGCAACGCACGCGGTAAATTTGGTCCAACCGAGCTACATTTTAAATTCACATCAAGTTCGTGCTTGTTCGTTAGTGTAAGGGGACTTTGCAAATATAGAGACTGTTCGGTTTTTGTTCTCAGTTTTTGTCTTAAAAATTATTTTGTAATATAGTTTCTAAAATTATTTTTTCAAAACAAAATAAAATGAAAATCCATTTGATTATATCAATTAAAAAAATTAAAATTAAAAGATAAACTGATAATGATAACTATAAGTAGTTAATAGTGATAATTAATAATAGAAATTGGTCAAAATAATTATAATTTTTAATAATTAAATATAATGTATTTTAAAAATAAGGAAAATAAAATGAAATCTTAAAGTTGTTTTCATTTTTTTGTTTTTAAAAATAAAAAAATAAAAAAAGTTTAAAAAAATTAAATGAAAAATACTTATCCAAACAAATTTTTTTATTTTTTATTTTTAAAAATAAAAAATAATTTTTTCAAAACAGAAAACAGTTCCATAATCACTCAACCCTATCAACAGGACGCAACAGCCAGCTATCAAATCGATTGAACTGGCCAATGGGGAATATATAGCATATTATATGGATAATGGAGACAGATGTAAGGAACAAGAAAACAAATAGTGAGAAGATATTACGAAAGAATCAAATCAGATATGTCCAGACAACCATATCCCACTCGTCTAGATAGGTCATAGGTTCTACACTAACAAACTATCATATTCTCACAATTAAACAAGCCAGTGAGCTGACCAAAAGCTTCTATTTTATAATTTTCAGAAGATATACGCCTGGTTTTAAAATTGTCTGTCTATATATTTATTTATCAAAATTGCATCATGCATCTGTCACCCAAAAAAAAAAAAAAAACACTTGCCATGACAACTATTATTATTCCAAGTCCATGCCAACTGAATTCCAAAACAAGGTATCCCATATTTCATTAAATTTCGACAAAGTGGATTCTTTTTTAGCATTCAAATCTATATATAATTTATATAGGATATAAAATCTTTATAGAGCTGTACTATTTATAAACCATGAATAGTTTGCTCTACCAAAAACTTCATGTAAAGCAGGAACTCAGAACTCACAATGTGCTTACATATATAACATTTACAAGGATGGCTTCACATATTCTATGGCTCAAAGCAAAATTTTAAGAATAAATTTTTCATCTACTTAATAAATTAATACATTAGTTTTCTTCATTTTGAGATTCTAAGTTATAAATCACAATATTTAACATTTATTTCCAATTGATCATCTAGCTAATCCAATTCAAATAGTAAAATGTTAAGAACTTGAGTACCTGCATAAAAATTAAATTATATATATAATATATAAATTACGAAACTATGATATACATATATATATATATATTCCTAAAAGTTTGGTTGGTGACAAAGTACAAAAGTGTCGTGCAATTCATATAACTGACTTCACTTAATAGGATAAGAGTTATTTGTTGTTGTTGTATGATATATGTTAAAAATAAAAGACTAGTTGAGGGTTTGAACTATAGAACACGAGTATAAAACTTGATTTGCAAAAGAGATTACTTAATAGAGTCGTTCAATGAAATGATATTGCTAATTGAATCTAAAAAATAGAGGAATTTTCTTTTGCTTCTGACTCAAAGGGAACCAGGAAAGATAAATGCAATAAAGGAAAAATTGAGTGTTATCCAACCTGAGAATGGAAAGGATAAGGAATTTTTTTATAGAAAAATATTTGAACATAAGTGCCTTAGAAACGAGAGGGAAAAAAGGAGCTGTGAGAAATAATTGTAAGAATTTAATGCACATGGTCATTAAGAGGGGGAAAAAAAAAGGCAACAGTAAGTGTGTTGGCAAAAAGAGATCATGATAATGTAAAATAAATAAACACGTATAACAATTATTGCAAGATTAGAGAAAGGACCTCGTTAGTGGTAGTGTTGCTGAGGCAGAGCTTTGCATGGTAAACAAAAAAGCCAGCCAATAGTATTCCAACAATAGAGAGGAACACCATAATAAGTATTTGAGTGTTGTAAGATCCCAACAACCACTTCATGATTAAAACAAGAAGAGAGCATTAAACTAAAAGATAAAGATAAGACGAAAGTCTCCACTCTAAACAGAAGCAACAATTGGAAACGGGGAAAAATGATAGAGGAACAAATCCCTCACCTGTGCAATATGAGGAGCTAAACTCAGAAAAGAATTTTCTACTCCATAATAAACTAGAAGATGGTGGTAAGGACAGACATCTCAGCATTAGTATAAAAAACAACTTAGACTGTAGTCAATCTTACAACTGAATCAATACTACCTGTAAGAATATGTACAATTCTCAGTTCTTGTAGTTTTCCAGCCATGATCAGACCAATGGCAACTGTTCCATACAGGCAAAGTAGGAAATGCCTACGAGATAATTAAAGAATAACGTAATAAACTGAACAGGAGAAGAAAAAAGCACGACTCATTGCACATCAAATGTGAAACAGAAATCAACCAAGTGACTTTATGAGACGTGGCCCATAACTAATCGTCTTGCATGTTTTTCCTACAAATTTTAGCATGCCGGTTCAAAATCTTTTTAGGGTTAGCTATTAAAAATCATAAGCTTGCCCGCATACCTCAGTAAAGTCAGATAATATGCCCAATCAACTAATCAATGTAAACATGTGGTAAAGAGAATGAAATGAGCTTAGATATTATAATTAATGCATTGTCTTTTATGGTGGAGATCAAAAGTTACCATCAAAATCAGCATATGGAAATGTGTGGGGTTATGACATTTTGAAACAAGCGAGCAGTTTCAGGTGTAGCACTTCCATATTTTGGTCCAGAAACAGTGAGGAATCGACATAAAGATTGAACGCTGAACAAAAATTTTATGTTGAGAAAAAGGTAGGGCTTTGGAGGTTTTCTCTCACTAGCTATTGCATACTGATATGTAAACGAGATGATTAGGAGATAATTAGGTCATGGTTAGTTACCGTTAGATAGTTAGTCCTAGGTGAACCTATATAAGGGTCATCTGTGTATTTGTCTGTTGTGTGAAATAATATTTTCCGAGTAGCATTCAGAAAATCTCTCTTTCCCTCAATCTCTCTCCTATTCTTCTCTATTCTTCCGTATTTTACACATCACATACCTTGCAGTTGAATCACATTATGAGGCTGTATTAGGGCCCAGAAGGTTCTAGCCTTAGTGCTACGCCCGGAATAATTATAAGAGGCACATTATTTCAATTACCTCCACTAAAAATACAAGATTTCGTGATGTTGTAGCATAGTCTTCTTAAATCAATTTCTCCTCTAGTTATCCTGTGGGAAAGAAGGGCCCATATTGGGTGCAAAGAACTCATAGGAGGTCAATACCAATCATGTATAATTCTTCTATCAATTTCTATTATGCTTGATGACTATTTATGAGTGTTTCATTTCATTGTTTTAGGTGGTTTTGGGGTAAGCATGATAGAAGTGACATCCTACTTTTACTATGAATGCTTTAAAACACCCTCTTTAGGTCAAAAATGCTTTTCATTTGAAATATTATGTCAATGATTTTTTCCTTTTTGTCTGCAAGTTTTAATGTCTTCAGCTAGTATTACAGTCAAAAGATAGGAAAATTGAAAGACAGATCATCAGTACACAGGTTATGCAGCAAAGGAGTTGAACCACATAGTATCAAACTCATGCAAGGGTAAGCATCGTTAACTGCAACAGCAGATGGACCACAGTAGCACTCACCAGAAAAGAAAAGCCATGAAATACCGAGTATTTTTCTCCCCAATGCAATTGTTCTGAAAGGAAAATTATTCTCATAAGTGCAACCCAAAGGAAAAAAAAAGGTAATATTTTAAATCAAAACCGCATAAAAATCATATAAATGGGAGAGCATTATTAAATTATGAACCATCCATCCACAGTGATGGTCAAAGCGCGCCACACATTGATCACAAATGCTGCAGTGCTTGGACCTAGCAGGTCTGCATAAGGATTTAAGGAAGTCTCTAAATAAACCAAAATTGAGAATTTGACAAATTTTACACTGGTGACATACTCACTTTGGAATTTTGCACGTTGGACACTTTTTCTCTGAATAAATGATATTGTCATATGGATAAGCAGAAAGATACTGAGAAACACTGCCAGCCTTTACAACTCCAGGATCAGAAAAGCTGGTCAATAGAAAGAGCAGAACTCCAACAGCCACCGCCAGCAAGCTTGTGTACCTAAAAGAGCATATATTGTCTAGAAAATCCATGATAAATTGATGCTAAGAAAATCATATTGCACCAAAAGAGTAAATATATCAGCTATGTGGCACCATACCTGTGTATTCCACTTAAATAGTAGTTAGGAATATAGGGAAAGGAAAACTTTACGATTAAATAATATGTTACGCTGATTATCACAAGATATATGATCTGCAATTAAAAGAAATATGTTTAGATAACTAACAAAAAACAGAACAATGTTTTCTTCAAGGGTATCTAAAGTTTAAGTTAAGATATAGGACCTGCTAAGAATAATATCAAATCAGTAATAGGTTCAATATAATTTATTTAATTTCATCAGAGAAGGGAGTTCAGATACAATTATTTCAATCCTCTCTGTCATCCAAGATCACAACTGCCACTCAAATTTGGCAAATAAGATTCACAATTCCTCAATGGCAAGGGAGACCCTTATATCTTCAGTGTTTCTTCTACACTACCAAAAGAAAGCTATCCACCCCATATTTGAAAACTGAGATCCAAAATTTTGTTAGTAGCATGTTACTCCTATTAAACATAGAGACACTTAATTTCAGGACATATGTGTCCATAAGTGTTAGCATGATAACAATTATTATTATTATTATTATTATTATTATTATTATTATAAGAAAAGATTAAAACAAAACAAAACTTGAAAATGTGCTCCAAAAGGAAGGAGCAGATTAATAAACAAGAGAATAAAAGTATGGACCAAAAACCCATCTTGACGTGTTAAATTCGAAGTTATACACAACAAGTTAGAATCGTTTAGGACTTGAGGTCGGCGTCAATCAGAAAACCTTTCAAAAAACTGATAGTGCAATGTGATTGCATCATAAGACAATAGCCCTTTTTTTTCCTTCTTGTCGGAAAGGTTCATTGAATGGATGATCAAAAGTTAAGATTTTGGCATGACGCATCAAGACATTGTTGCTTGACAATATTATGAGATGATAAGCTGTAATATCCTTATTTAGCAGTATCAATTGCAAGAATATAGTTTGCATGGCTACGGTAGACTATCCAGATAACCTTAAAAATTAATATTATCATTAACTACTGTCTATCTAGACATCCTGCCATGTTGAGTTTGATGCATCGCCATGACAACTACTGTGTGCTTGCTTCATGGCACATGTCAGCGTTACTGTATCTAATTTCTTTTCCACTAGAGAGAAACGTTCCAAATGTAATATTCGAAGTTCTACTTTGGGGACTACTGGATTCTGATTTAGACAATTGAAAAATTAATAGCAGTCTCGCCAAAACTATGAGAACAACTATGAAGCCCCTAAAACTAAAGCTCTACTGTAAGTAGTGGATTAGCCCCTTTTTCAACTGTTATATCTCACAACTAATAAGAATTGAATTGTTCCTGTTTTTCCATCATACAAAAGTATAGCAAATACTGATACTGATTAAGGAAACCTGCAAGATTGGATGGGGCCGATTGCAGCAGTAATATTCCACAAACAGAATCGCATTCGTACACTTCGAGCCAAAAACTGCCCGAAGGAAACGCCTACACAGAAGTGAGAATTGAGGCGCATACAATAAAAGAAGGGAGTGGGGAGGATTTGTGGGGAGAAGAGCGTACAGGAAGTAATCGTAGGCACCGAAAGTAAGGAAGTAGTGAATCCGTTCGACGATGGTGCCCTGGAAGATGGGCCATTGACCGCAGAGTAAGGAGAACAGCACCACCAGAGTCACCATCCCGTGGCACAGAAAAATCCACTCTACCTCCATTGCAGACTCTCCCGTTTCCAGAATCGACTGTGCGATTTCGAGCTCCCAGTTCGTTATCAAATGGCAACGCCCATGATACAATCAATGCCCAGAAATCCAATGTAAGCCTGGTTGGTAAAAAATTGTTTAAAGATGTATCCTTGTCGAGGAAAAATTTCAATTAAAGAACCATGGATAAAACTTAATTACTAATGAGTCCTAAAAAAATTAAAATTTCAGTTTGGTGTAAAAAATAAAAATAAAAATAATTTTCATAATAAAAAGATTAAAATATTATTCACTTATTATACAAAATGATAAGTTGTTAATTTTCTTACTTTATTTATTAATTTATTAATATAAATTATAAATCATGTTAACTGACATGTCAATAATTATAGAAGAATTGACATCAATTATTTAATAACAAACAGCAATATCAATTTTTAAATTATTAATTTTATTTGTTAATTTATTAACATCATTTATAAATTATTGAATACTGATAGGTATTATAATAATGTAATTTAAAATTGATATTAATAAATTAATAAATAAAGTTAGCAAATTAACAAATGATGTTGTTACTTGTCTGACAAATAGATATAATTTACAACTCATATTAATAAATTAATAAATTAAATAAAAAAATTAATAATTAATAATTTTACATAACAAGTGAAGATACTTTGATCTTTTTACCATTAAAATTATTTTTATTTCAATTTCCTAGATTCAAAAGTTTCAAATTATTTTTGAGACTCATTAATAATTAAATTTCATTCATAGCCCTTGAGTCAAATTCTTTCCTTTTGTTACATGTTATAGACACAAAAAGGTTAACAAATTGTTCTTAAAAACTAAAAAGTCATACCATTTTTTTAATGTTTTGTTAGCTTTTTCTTTTTTTCTTCAAAACTGAAGAAAAGGTGGAAAAGACCATATTTTGATTAATAATAATTGTATTAATAAAATAAATAATTTTTCATTTCTTATTCATCATTTTTAAAAAAGCTTTTTAAAATAATGATTTAAACAAATTTCTTATTTCTTATTTTTCAAACTTGTTCTCAAAACTATTATATAAAATTGTTTAAAAAATATATAAAGAAAAAAACAAGTTCTTAGGGGCTTGTTGCGTTTTTGTTCTCATTTTTTATTTTTAAAAACTATTTTGTAATATAGCTTTTAAAATTATTTTTAAAAACAAAATCAAAAAAAAATTATTTAGTTATATCAATTAGAAAACAGTTTTAAAATTAAAAAAAAAAATTACATATAAGTATCGTGAAGATGACTTATTTATAAATTAGTATCTTGCCTTGTGCAATGTACAGAAAGATATCATAAAATTAAATTAAGTCAAACCTTTGTTTAAAGTTCAATGTTAATTATTAATGAAGTGAAGTAAACTATAAAGCAAAGTAATGGTGATAGGTCATTTATTTAAATTTTAAGGATTCCACTTGTTATTTGCTTTTTTTAGCAACAAAGTTGTTGTCTATAGCAGCATTCCATGAAGGTGTCCGAAGCACAATAACAATTAACCATGCCATACAAAGCATCCTCCATCCTGCAAAAGGACAAAGGTAGACACAAAATTAAAGGAAAAACATAATATAATGAAATGCATTAAAAGACTAAATCAACTTTAAACCTTAAATCAATTATGCAATGCATACGACATCTTACATCCTATATCTTTTATGTCTGATTTAGGTTCCAGCAAAAATTTTACTAAATGCCATACCACTATATTTCTCCAGTCAATTACTATTAAGAATCAATCAAAAAAATTATGAAAAAAATGATTTGACAAGCAAAAATATAACATTAATATACAAGAATCTATAGTAAAACATCAAATTCATGTAGAAAAAATGGCCATTTGAAACAAAATAAATTGCATATACACTTAAAAACTACAGTATACTGAAGTTAAATTTGTTATTTGTAACTACAACTTTTATCATACATAATTCATTTACTTGATAGTCACATTTAAGAAATAGTTCAGAAATCAAGCATCATTCCATCAGTCTAGCATCTCCGAAGAGCACAAATGTGAGGAAGCCATGATTAAAAAAGGCATAATGAACAAATGTATACATCCGTGAAATCCAATAAATATTACAATTGACAGGCTTAAGAACGTAATAGTAAAAACATCACTACCTTCTTAATGAATTTTAAAGTCAAGTTTCAACAGTAGATGTATGTGCAAATGATTTATATTTTGTTTCAAGTGTATGCATAGTAACAATGATGTTCATGTCTACAAAATAAATAATGTCCATTGTCATCATGTTATTGTGATACCATTAACTAATTAATAAACAGATTAATAACCTTCACCTTCCTCTTAGGCAAGAGTCATTACAATTGCAACACCCGTTTAATTATAGGTGTTTGTTAACCTTGAAACTATATTTTTTTATACATATCATTATCTAAATATGTTTTACATTTGAAAATTATGCAAGTATGGCTTGAATTACATAATTAGAATAATGGGATTGTAAAAGATAAATGTTGTTTCAATGGTGATTGAAATTCTTTTGAATTTAATGAATATTAATGAAATTGAGCATGATGATGCCATAGAAACATGCTATGTGTGAATTTGCATGAGATATTGGCATGATCACATTGATGGTGAAAGTATGAAATAGTAATTTATGCCCATGTGGATTACATGAACACCACGAGGCCTCAATGTTTAGTACCTAACTTTACTTTTAAACCCCACCTAATGAAGGTGATAATGGGGTTTACCCTTGAATCCCAATTAACGAAGTTGGTAATAGGGTCTTGTAACATCCTTATGTTTGAGATGGGGGAATCCATATTCCGTGATTGAGTGTGGGACCCTAGCCTAGTCACCCCTCACGATTGGAGAGTTTGAATTAACTTAATCACATGGATTCAGCCAGCACTAATGGAGGAGTTGCATTGAATTGTGTTTAATATTGTTAAATTATTTCATAAATTCTCACTTTCCATGCTTATGATTATTTTACTTGTGTAGGTATATTTTAAATAACTTTATTTATTAAATAGTTATGCTCACCCTTATCTAATATTTTTACAAGCATGAGCTTGGGCCTAGACAAGGGAAAAGCTTTGAGGCTTATGATGTTTACTCCTACTGTAGTGTCTCGATTTACTTTTAGAATTACGTGTAATTAATATGATATTTCCAACTAGGAACATTAGTTTGAATAATTGCACCATTACATATTATTGTTGTTGTCTGGTTATATTTAGTATCCTATGCTATATTATATGGGTTGCAAATGCTAGAATAAGGCCTAAATACTAGTGTAAGTATTTTTGATTGCCTGTAGATGATTATGTTGTGGATTTTATGTTGATTACCTCCCCCTCTTCTTTTTAATGATATCAAGGTTAAGGATTGAAATTGTGAAGTGATATATATGTCTATTTTAGTGCACTATACAGGCAATCCTAAGTCTTTTGGGCTTGGTCTAGGTGGTGTTATAGGCTATTAACATTTTTTGTTAGAGTTTAGACACCTTGGTTGCTTTAAAGTGTAAAAAGACAGTTGTTGTATTTTTAGGTGTCTAACTTTATGGTATGTTATTATTTGTAAATGAAATCAATGCCAATAGCTAGATCTAAGAATGAGTTTTCTATAGATACCTAAATTACCCTAATTAGATGTCAAATAGTGAATCGAGGCACATCGAAAGTTCACCTTGAGACTAGCTTGTGATAGCATAATGTTGTCCTTATGCCTGTGCAGTATGCCATAATACATCGCATCTGTGTTGCAGCACACAGTATAGAGGAGCCATGACAGATTCCCTATAATTGTTAAAAAGATATTTTTACTTTTTTTTCCTCAACTGATTTTTCAATGAGAATGATATCCCATGCTTTCCATTGCTTTTCACCTTGATTTATCTCTATTTTGGTTTTAATTCTTTTTAGTATTTAAATATAAAACTTTAGATCTCATTTTGGAACAAAAGAATTATGTTCATCATGGTAGACTTGTATGGCCATTACTTAATTATCATGATAAGAGTTACTAAGATGGGTTAAGTTCAGGTTGAACTTAGAGATTTCACACTTGTATGCAGATAATGACACAACAACGTAATAGCTTCTTACTCATAGTTACATGTCAGAGTTAAATCCTTTGCAAATTTACAACATTCATCACTGGTTGCTACATATTTTACTATTCTTGCACTTCTTTAATGTTCCATCTTCTATAATTTGATATATTCCCGGTTCACGTTACATTCTTAACATATATCTAGGATTTTGAGGGCACCATCATTGAATATTGGCCAGTTGTGATGTAGTATTACAAAGTTTACTTTATTACTCAATTATTCTAAAATTAGGCCATTATTATGGCAGATCGGAGCTATAAAAATAATGAAAAGAGTACGCATGCATGGTAGGATTAATAGGTAAAGCTACTTCTATTTTTCCCACCTGTGTAAATTAATCAACGAACAATTAGCATCTTTTTGTGATACTATACTATTTTATTGTACATGTAGATGGTGATTTGAGAGAGTATGAGAAAAAGTGGGACAAATTAAAGGAGATGGGATTAAAGCAAAAGCAATGCACTCGTGGAGTTGGATAAGTCTACTCACTGAAAAAAAAACAAGATGCGCTAATGAAGTGATTACTGACAAATTCCCATTATCACTTAGGTAATTTGCTGTCAAACTAGAGTGCAGTCCATATAATTGTCCCACATTTTGATTTAGGGATGTATCATAATTAGGATAGGCAACCTAAGTTGTCTAGAGAGCCAAAACCAGAGTGTAAGCATCCTAAAAATTTGAAGCTCTTGTCAAAACATCAAACCATAGATGAATGAGGGATGAAAATTATTAAGATTAAAAGGGCAAGCAAATGTGAGAGAGAAATGCACGTTATTAACTTCTTAATAAGAACAAGCCAGACAAATTATAAAAAGTAGTTTGTGCATACTAAGACCCATTTTTTTTTGGGTTATGCATCATTTTTATCCCTAAAAGTATACATAAAAAGTCAAAAATGACCTAAAGCTCACTTGTAGGTTAATGCTATCTCTCAATTTTAAAGTTTCTATTTCTCATCACCCAGTCATTTTTTCATTGTTAGTTGATCGTTAAGGGACCCATATTATATTTTTTTAATATTTGTTATTATAAAATATTTGAGTTGAGAGTGCCCACTAGTAATCCTTAAAATAGTAGTTGAGCGAAAAAATGACCATTAACCTTAAAAAAACATTTAAAAATAATGGGCCCCACTCATGACTAATAGATGTAAAGTGTTTTTAACATCATGATGATGATGAAGAAAATCTTTAAAATTGAGAAATAAAATTGACCCATAGTGAAGTTTAAGATTACTTGTGAGCTTTTATGTATAATTCAGTAATAAAAATGATCCTTAACTTTTTTTTGGTGCTATTGCCTAATGTTTACAAACAAGAGCAAGAAAAATTTGCCAAATCCCTAAATGTTCTTATGACGTATTTGAATTAATAGATATTTAGATTTGGATTTAAACTAAACCTCTCATTTGGATATATATATATATATATATATATAAATTTATGAATTTGGAAATCTATTTCAAATTATATTTTCTTTATAATTTCACATTCTTTTTATACTCTATTTATTTGAAGTTTAATTATTTCAAACGTCTTATTCTCATTGTGTATTTATTATTGAAACTTTTACTATTCTCATATTTTTTCTCATTTATTGTTAATTAAAAAATATAAATTGATTAGTCATTTTCAATTCTTCATTTTCCTTTTAAATATTAGTCCACCCCTCTTGTTCATTTAAAAATTTTTGAACTGCCTAAATAAATAATTTTAAATATACATATTTTAAATGTAAAATTTAAAATGTAAGATTTTAAATTTTAAATTTAAATTCAGATTTATTAATTTAAACACTACCTTAGCTTTTTCGATATCCAAGTTCACATCCCTTTTCCTTATATCCTCTTAAAGCTTCGGTCTTGGTCTTCGTCAAATCTGTTGACAGGTAAGATTGAGGCAAGCGTCTTCACACATGATTCATAGGAGCATATATAACAACTTATTGACTATATATTCCATATCCCATTTATTTGAGGGCAATTCAAACTTGCTCTTTTCGAATTTGTTACAGGTATTGGGGGGGAAATAGACAGCCAAGCATGACATAAAATTCAAGGTGCATGACCACATGGCAGAATATATGAAATATTGAATGATTATTTACATCAACACCCCGTTAATTATAGATTATGACAAATGTAATAACCTAGACAATCTTCATCAACTATAAAGTACTTCCCTAGCCCCTATTTTTTTTTTTAATATAAGGCTGCAATAAAAATTGTGCAAAAAGACCAAATTCAGGTCATATCAAAAGCTATAAACCTTCCTCAATTTATGAAAAGATTGTCAAATAAAGTAATATCAAAATGTTCTCTTAAAGCCTTGTAGGCTAGCAAATTTGTACAATAATTCGTTTTTTTTATAGAGATGATCAAAAGTAATCTTTCAATTACTCATGATGTGATTTCTAATATTTTTAATAATTATTGAGAAATGAAGACTATGGTCAAAATTAGATTCAATGAGGATTAGAACATCCATAGAATTAGGACAAACACTAATTCCTCGTCCTCTATTTATAAAACAATTATACCTGCTATGTAGACTAGAGAAAACTAGTTCATATCTTCAAAATTATTTATTTTTTCATAAATACCCTTAATTAAATATAGTGCTATCTCTCTCCCTCTCTCACATTCAGCCTCTTAATTAATTAATTAAAATTATCATTTTTGAAGAGTATTTTTTAAAAAAATATATTAATTATTACCTGTTCGAGCTAACAATATAATTTTTGGTAGGCTTGGGCTAAAATCTAACCTTTAACCTAAGCCCAACCTAAATTTTTAACAGGGAGGTAATTATTTGCAAGAGAAACACATTCACATTGTGTATGGAAGTGGGAGGAAATGGAAGAAGTTTTGGAGATAACTGTAACAAATGGCCTTAAAAAGTAAGGGGCAAAGCTAAAATAAAACTATCACCGGCCTTTTGCCCATAAAAGAAAGTAAGCCACAACATATACCGGACGTTCCAACTCCAATAAATCCAACAGATCAATCAACACCTAGATTTATATATAGACACACTTCTGCGACTTTATATATAATTCCCTTGGTTCAGTACACTTCCATGAGAAAGCGCACCTAGTAGAGCATATCGCCCAAAAGAATAGTCGCACCGTCGCTCTAGCATCCTCTTTTTGTTTTTCTACGTCTGAGATAATTGTGACAAAGGATTCCAAAAATCATCTTTTGATTTAGAAATCAGGTACATCACACTGCTCGAGAATGTCTAATCTAGCGCACCCGCCCAACATGCAGAACCACCCCAAACACTACCTAAAGTTTGTAGATTATCTTATAAATCAAGACACCCAACTCTTGACTACTCTATCTCATACAGTTAAAGGGAGGGGGAGCGAGTGGTTAACGTTACAAAGACAGGTTAATAACTTCAATTTATATGGAAGAATTTGTCGTCCCTCCTAAATGGGGGGAATATTAGAGTGGATGAGGATTCAAACGAGCAACATGCACAAGGAGAACTCATAAATAGGATTATAGGAATGAAGTTTATACGCTAATACCGATTTGTTGGCCAGCAAGTGGCAACGCCTTGAGATGATGATGGTCACCATGACGTTGATGGTATTGGTGGCAAGTGCCAAACTCGAACGGAGAAGGAAAGTATTTCGCCCACCGCTCTAGATTAGAATGAGAACATTGTTTTAAAATCAGCAGCATTCAAAACATGACACAGAAAATTAACTATTTTTCAATGAGCTTATTCGCAGCAACTCATGAAATACATACAGAGAGAGAGAGAGAGAGAGAGAGAGAGAGAGAGTAAAAAAATTAATATATAGGAGTTTTCCGAGTGAAGACAACTAAAGTTTAATATCGAATAAATTATCCGACAAGTGAGTGTTATTTTTAATTGTTGATTACCGGGGAATGATAATGAGTAAAAGACAATCATAGTAATGTCTTAATGTTGTGGAGTAATGATAACATGATTTAATCAAGAGGGAGAAAGAGGACAAAAGAGAGAAATAAAAGAAGGGAGAGGGATGATGTGTAGAATTATGATCCAGGGAACAACAGACAAGAAGGTGAAGTGATGGGGACGGAACAGTAAAAAATAGGGAAGGGAAACGGGGTTGGATTCACATCACATTTTTTTTTTTCAATTTTTATTTTGTGGGGGGGGGGGGTGGATGGGGATTAAACGAGAAGGGAAATCAGAAGAATACAAAAGCAGTGGCCGCATGTTAGCCTCACGCTAATACTTCCAAATGCGGATGTGGGGTTCCTTAATAATAGGGAGGCCCCCCTCTCACAGCCCTTTGATTGTCAACTTCGTCCCTCCCTCTCTCCCTCATACTTCATTATATTCCTAAATTTCAATCGGCCACATCTTCAACTATAAAATTCACGCCCACACTTCGTGACATTCCTCGTTCTTACTCGGAATATCAAGGTTGAACAAATCTAACGGAGAAAGAGAAACTAGTCTCTATGTCGCGGGGTCTGTCATGATGTTCGGTCACGTGCCACCGCACGCACGGGACGGGAGTGTGCTGTCTCCTCCGTTCCGTTGGCTACGGAGGGGAGTCCCCAATCCAGATTCTTCCCCTCATTTTTGGAAGCGAATACAAGATTGAACAGAAAAGGAAAATTAAAATCAATTTTGTCCGGGCGGGGCGTGGTGGGTCCCGCGCAACAGTTCTATTCTGCCGCCCGCTTTGTCGTCTCGCTTGCTGGCCCCTCCTTCACTCATGTTGCACTTTAGCCTTTGTCTGGACGCATTTTCTACAGTGCGCACACCTTCTTATCCTTCGCTTGTCTGCGCTCTCGGGCGCTTTCTCCCCTGTTTCCATGGCTCTGATCTCTGACATTTATCGAGCTTCTTGAGTGATCTCCAGCATATTTGGGCCTTTTCTGTTTCCGCCCCGTTGTTTGATGACGCCTTGGGATCTTGCTCCGGACGCGCTGCAGAATTGCGATTTTGGATGGGCTTCTTTCTTTTTCGTATAACTGAAGCTCTGTGACTCCTGTTACCCCTTCCGCGATCCGTGCCGCTGATTCGCCGCCGTATCTTCTCATGGCTCGAAGCGATGAAGTTAACCTCAACGAATCCAAGGTGTGTTCCGTTATTTTTTTCTCCTTTCCATTTTTGTCTCCATTCCTTTCGCTTGTTTGCACTTTTTGCTCTTCAACTCTATCTCCCGTTTGTTGAGCGGTACGGATTCTCGTGGCTTTTCATCGGTTTGAGGCCTTCTATTTTGCTGATAGAAAGTTCAGCCGAGTCTGGCTTTCCCGGGGAAAGGGAGGGGGTGCCTTCTCATGGATTATTATTTTGATTGCTTATGGTATATCGGTAGCTTGTACGCCGCCTTCGGTGGGAATATGGTATTTAGGCTTTGGGGCTTTTATGTCTTTTGGGGTCCGGTTCTTGTTATTTCGTATGGGATTTTTGTATTACATACAAATATCACTCTTGCTCTGTGCCTTGCTTTCGTGATTCTGATGTTCGACTTGATGAGAGGATCCATCGGGCTGCGTCTATATATATATATTTCACGGGGTTCTGCAGGAGGAGGAGGTGCGTGTTCTAGTTGTGTAATTGTCGCCTTACCGAGGGTTTTGATCGGATTAATTTGTAGATCAATCTAGTTTTTAGCGTTATTCTCCTTGGTCCATCGTCGACGCTAAGGATTTACCCTTGATCTATCCAATTGATTTCCACCCGGTGTAGCGTCTTTTGCTGATTTCTGGAGTTTCTAGGGTTTGTAATTTACCCTGTTGGAATCATCCTTTTAAGCCCCCGCCGCCAAACAAAAAACTGTGATTATGTGATTATCCCTAGTTTTCTTCTTGAGGTAATTTTATATTCTGATTTCCTGTAGATGGTGGTGCCGCTAAACATGTGGGTTCTCATCTCCAATTTTAAGTTGGCCTACAATCTTCTCCGTCGTCCTGATGGCACCTTCAACCGGCACTTGGCGGAGTTTCTAGATCGGAAAGTCCCAGCCAATGCCAACCCTGTTGATGGGGTTTTCTCTTTTGATGTTATTGTTGACCGTGAAACTAATCTCCTCAGTAGAATTTATCGACCTGCTGAAGGAGAAGAGACTCACGTGAATATTGTTGATCTCGAGAAGCCTGTAACAGCTGAGGTTCTGCCTGTCATCATATTCTTTCACGGTGGAAGCTTTGCGCATTCCTCTGCCAACAGCGCTATATATGATACTCTATGTCGCCGACTGGTGGGCATTTGCAAGGCTGTTGTTGTCTCAGTGAACTATAGGCGTGCACCTGAAAACAGGTATCCTTGCGCATACGATGATGGGTGGGCAGCTCTCAAATGGGTTAGTTCTAGATCATGGCTTCAGAGTAGGATGGACCAGAAAGTTCACATTTACCTGGTGGGGGATAGCTCTGGCGGGAACATCGTCCACCATGTTGCCATGAAAGCCGTGGAATCTGGAATTGAAGTGCTGGGAAATATACTGCTCAACCCATTGTTTGGTGGGAAAGAAAGATCTGAGTCTGAAAAGCGTCTAGACGGGAAATATTTTGTTACGATCAAAGATCGGGATTGGTATTGGAGAGCTTTTCTGCCGGAAGGGGAAGACAGAGACCATCCGGCATGTAACCCATTTGGCCCCAAGGGCAAGAATCTTGAAGGGATCGCCTTTCCAAAGAGCCTTGTTGTGGTAGCTGGTTTAGATCTTGTTCAGGACTGGCAGTTGGCTTACGCGAAGGGCCTTGAGAAGGCTGGGCAAGATGTGAAGCTGCTGTTCCTAGAGCAGGCCACGATTGGGTTTTACTTGTTGCCAAATAATGAGCATTTCTCAACGGTCATGGAAGAGATAAGAAATTTTGTGAGCTCTGGCAGTTCGTAGGCTAGACTGTTGTCATACATAACAGACGGAGTTTACCGGATTGTGTAGGTACACTACTTACTTTTTTGTGTATTGTGGTTTCTATAGTACCCTGCACCCGTGATCTGGCACTCGTGGTTCTGGTATTTGATGTGTCTGGGATTGGCATAAGTGGCCGAGTAACCAGCATATAGCTGTATGTTTTCCGGTGCACATCGCCTGGAATTGGGTGATGATGTAGATAGGTGAAAGCTACGACCTTTTATTGGAAGGAACCACTAGGGTTATGATTTAACCAATCTGACTTCCAGCCAAAAAGGAGAGGAAGACAGTATCTTGGGTATGACCTCGGTGCCCAGCCAGTGGGGCTTGTCGCCTGCCTAGTGTTAAATATATATTTCCTAATTTTGGAACACAACTAGAGCTAGTTTTAATGATATTATGGTCCTGTATGTTTACACGTCTGTGCTATCTTCATATAAGTGCTTGTTGAATGCCTCCTCCGTAGATAGCTAATTCTACGTTCTCGTGTCAACGGGGTGCCCTTGTTCAACGTTCGACTGCCTTTGCAAATAGAATTGGAGTAGACTACTTCAGTGAAAGTTCAAGTCCATTGTATTACGGTTGCTTTAATAATATGCTTGTGAGGAAGTTGTTAGGTTATCGCATCCGATGGCGTGCTTCTGTTTGCACTTTGCAGCCGGCCAGTAGCAATCGCGGCCATTTTTTGGGTTATCACTCACATCCTAGTCTTATGAAAATATCATTCCATGTTTCTTTATGGAAATACATGAAATCTATTTTAAATTGAAAACATGACTATATTTTTCTAAAAACGCATTGTAACTTATTACAATGGACATTAATCTTTTCATTAAAAAAGGTAGTGTGTTGAAAGGAAATAAAGTCATTTATTATTATTATCATCATTATTATTTTGGTTAAGTATAATGAGTAGGTTTTATTGACAACAAAGAATATCTCTCCCAATCAATGATAAATCTTTTTTTAACTAAATTGTTAGCCACACAAAAATTAGGATTTAAACCCTCAACTTATAGTTAGTGATAAGGTCATTTATTTTGAATAATTCATTTATTTAATATTTATTATTTTCTTCATTTTAAATTATGAGAGACTTTGAAATAAAATTTTATATACCAATAAATTTTATTAAATACACGTAGCAATTTTATCTTTTCAAAATAAAAATATAAATTTTTTAAAAAATTTGTCATTTAATATATTGAAAAGAGAAGAGATGGAAATTAATTATAGAACAAGAAAAGGTAATATTGAAATTGGTGTTTTTAATTAAATTTTTATCTACTCAAAGTATTTTTAGGATGAAAAAACTCCTTTAAAAGTATCCTATAATTTGAGACGAAGAGAGTATGCTTTTGAAATGGTATATATGAAAATATTTTGCCAATGTCCTTGAAACGTAGTGGCATGCCACTTCCATTAAAGGTGAGAGGTTGAGAATTTAAACTTGCTTATAACCCGTTAGTGTAATATCTTAATTTTTACGTTATAAATTTAATTGTGGGAAAATGGATGTTTAATCAAGGTGACAAAAATCAAGTTGATATTATTTTGAGGATGGAATGGGGAATAAATTTATAATTGAGGTTATTTGAAATTAATTACATGTTAAGGCACTTGATTATGGTTAAAATTGGGCAGAGAATGATGTATTTGGGTTGAATAAAGTCTAAATAGTAATTGGTCTGAATTGGGCTCGGATAGTTGGGTTCAAGTGAGGTGTAGCATTTTGCACAATTCATCATGGCGCATGGTGTGTCTATAGTGATAGATAATACAAAATATGCATAAGATTTTAGTTCGAATAGCAAAAATGCAAGTGTGAAGTTTTGAGGGTTAGGTGTGATTTTTGAGTTACTCTATGAGGGTTTAAAGTTCCTAATCTTAAGGCAAGATTTTTAAGACTCTAATCACTTAACTCATTTAATCACTTCCCTACCATATTCTATTCTCTTTAAGCTTGTGTAAGCATTTGTTAGTGTTGGGATTTCATTTTTAGGATTGCCCAGCCTTAGATTCGAACTATATGGATACTTTTAGGTTAAATAAATACCATTTAGGTTGACTTGATGATGATAAATAAGGTCGGATGGTTATATCCCAAATCCTAGACTTTATTGGGTGATTTTAGTGATAATTTGGGTATGTAAAAGTTAAATAAATGATTAGAGAGTATGATGATGATTTAAAGGTGTTTAAGGATTTAAATGGTTTTGACAGCCTTGGGTTAATTAGATTAATTAATCTAGCCATAGAATTAGGTTGTGATTAGTGTGTAGGAACTTTTAATTAGTGTTATAACACTTTACTGACTATAATTATCATCCCCCTGTTTGTAGATTGTGGTAGAAACACTGTTAAAGTTAAAGGTTCGCTTGTTCAATGAGCTCTAATAGCAAGGAGCAAAGGTAATTATTAGTAATGTGTGATTTTGTATGCTTTATGATCAATTAAGTATGGTTTTATTATGTTTGGCAAATCATATTATGTTTACAAAGAATATATCATTGTTTGGAAAAAAATGAATTGCAAATTGGGATGAACTATATAATATATATATATATATATATATATATGAATACTATGTTTGGTACAATTATTGTTTAGAAATATGAATTTGTTCAGTTGTGAGTTTTTGTTCTAATTTGTTTGGAAATATGTGTGACATGTTAAGTTGTTTAGAAATATGTAATATTGGGGATTTTGTCCAAAAATTATACCTACCATGTAGTATGCCCATATTGGCCCTAATAAGTAGTTAATACCTTGTGTAATAGCCTAAATTTTTAAATTATGTAATTAAGGACTTATTAGGGCCTAGTGGTAAAATAATAAATAAATTAAGTTTATTGAGTTTTCAAATTACTAATGAACCTTTTTGGATTGATTGGACAATTTCAAACTAGGCTAAAAGATTAATTGGGCTATATGGAGCCTAAGGGAAGGCTTAATTTGTGTGTGGCCAAATTGGGCCAGTCGCCACGACGAACTTTCCTTCTTGCTTCAGTGAGCAGACTGGATCATTCAATCTTTCAAAAAAAGAAGAGAGGAATGAGAGGCGACAAAGAAGAAGGTGTGGGCTATTAGGGCTTCAACTTTAGACCACTTTGGAGGCTTCCTAAGCTAGAAAACCACTTGGGCAAGCTTCCTAACCCTTCCTCCTTCTCCCTACTCTTATTTTCAGAGGTGTGAGGTATTATGGGATGATGATTTCTTCTTTCTTTAGTTTTAGCCAAACCTATTGCATTCTTTAGGACCATGGGGATTAATTTAAGTTTTCTATACTTAAGTTTAATAATTTTATGATGATTTGAAGTTTTTGATATAGGCTTTAGATGAACCTTAAACTTAAATTTAGAGTTTAAGAATAATGTGGGTTGTATATTGATGTTATCTAAGTCTAGAGATGTTAATGGAGGATAATGGAATATTTTTATAGCTAATGATAAATATTAAAAATTATGGGTAGCAAGCTATAACTTAAAAGTATGCATACGAAAGTTGTGAATTAATAATTAATATTTAATTTTGTGGATAAATTATTGTTTGGACCCCGTTGAACCAATGGAGGATAAGAGGAGCGATTATTTTGTTACAAGTAACCCTTTTATCAGGTAACCAGATGATCTAATCCTTTTATGTGTTTGTTTGGTTTGTTATGAGTGTTGCGAAACGTGATACTATTATTATGCTATGAAATGTACTCGTATTAATGTTTATAATTTTAGAAAACTTATGTGAAGTGAGAATTTTGTGAAAGGATGTTTTTAGGTCAAACACATGTATACAAATGTTTGTGAAATTGGTTTTAAACTTGAAAAATGCTAGTTTGTTGTTTTTGAGATATGATATGATGTAAATATGGTTGCTTGGAATCTGCACATGCCTTGTTGTGATACATGTATGAGCATGATCATTTTAAGAGGGTAGGAGTTCACTTTAAGGGAGTAGAATTGTATAAAATCCATATAGTACTTATTGGCACCTTAAATGACCTTAATGCTTAGTCCTATTTGTTTGAAAGTTTCAATATTATCATTATGATAAATTGAGCATACAATACCTCGAGGATTCAAAAAGGAGAATCTGTGATTCAAGAATGGGCAAAGGTGCTTTTAGCTGGGCTACCTCCCATAATTGGTGAGTTTGGGCTAGTCTAGTTGTATAGACTTGGTGCTGTTGAATTGTTAGTCCACAGATTTGGTCAAAACTAATGCAAAGAATATAAGGCAATTATGAGTGGTCACGCATTGTATGGATAAGAATATGCTTGTATGTCCTTTATATTAACTGTGTTTTGATCTTGCTCACTTTACATACTCATTTACTTTCCTAACTTGCTTGTAACTAAATTAGATTATTTAGTTACTGAAACATTGTTCTCATTCCCTTGGTTTCAATTTTATAAGTGAAGACTCCTTTAGAAGCAAAAGGAAGAGTGGCGCAAGCAAGGAGTAGGGGAGCTTTTCATTGTCATGCACTTTTTTTTTGTATAATTCTTGAATATATATATATATATATATATTTATATTTATATATTACCAACTTAGGACATGCATTCTTTTGGTTACACTTGCACAAGGATTATGATGTTTTTTTTGGTATATTTTGGCTTAGGATAATGTGTATGAGTTAATTCCATGGTGAGAGGTCGAAATATTAGTATAGGTGTACATTTTGTTTTGGCTAGAATGTTACAATTAGTCAATGTGGCATATGTCCATGAATTATGTTTTTATGCCCTATTATAATAATTAAATGGGGTTTAGTGGCCAAAATGTGTTTGTTATGATGATTTGATTGTATAATTTGCTTTATCAGATGTATTTCAGTAGGTTTAAGAGGTCAAAAAGCTTTTGGCACTTGTTGGAAAATTTGGACACCTTTAAAACTGTTTTAAAAAGAAAAGTGATTGCTTTGTACTCAAATGTCCAACTCTTCATCGATATAGTGTTTTGTCGCATAGCCAATGCTATTATCTAGGTAGATTATTTAGCTATGTGTGGATATTTAAATCATTCAAATTGAAAGTCAAACGGTGAAATGATGCACTTTTAAAAGTTCGTATTTGGGTGCTGTCATGACACATTGTGTTTGCCATGGCAAAAACCAACTATGCCATTCCCTGCTAGTTAGTTGTGAAGAATGGAGCAGTTTGGGCAGAATGCCTATTTTGCCTTTGTTATGTCATGTTTTGTTTGTTTCCTCTATTATCATGCTTTGACAACTTCTTATTTAATATTTTAACACGTTTGAGCTCAAATGTGTTTAAAAATAGTTTTTCCTGGGATCCCAATTTTTAAACTATTATCCTTTAATTTTTAACTTTAACTGTTTTATATTGTGATAATTTAATAGAAGGATTTATCTAATTCTAATTACCATGATATAGTGTTGTGTAGTGTGTTCTAATAATATTAAGGTAGACATTATACCTTGGACCAACCCACCTTTGGTAGGTTAATTTGGTTCTTGGCATGATGCATTAAGGGATATAAGATGTTATCATGCAAAACTATTAATTGTTCGGATTGTCTAAATCATTATTGTTTGGAAAAACATTTTGCATGCCCCACTTAGTAATCGTATGATTAGTTGTATTATATGCATCATTGCATATTATTTTAGTTATTAAGATATTTATGTTCCATTCCTAGTTGTTAACATTTTTATAAGGTAGAGTCTAGGAGGAGATGCACCAAGAGAGTGATCGGTGTGTGTAAACACTATTAGACCTTGTCAGCCTTCTTTTTAGTTAAGTCATATCTTATCGCCAACCTTACTGCATTTATGTTGTAATGAGAACTTGTGACTCCATATTTTAAGTAAATTCATATTTGATTGCCATGTGTTGGTTTTTGTGACATTTGTGGCCTCATATATATATTTGTGCGCGCATTACTCTCTAGGTATTTGAAGGGAAAAATATCTTGATTTATATATTATTATTATTATTTATATAAATTACATTGGGTAGCTATAATTTAACTATAAGAGTCTTAAATGTATGTATCACTATAATGATGTGAAATTGATGTTTGGGATGAGTTTGAGTTGATCAAGTGCCCTACATAATGATTGGAGATTTTGGTTTTGGTGTGTAAAATGTTTAAATGTTTGGAAAGTTGTATTTTGTCTTTTAATGAGTTTTGGTGGATAAAATTTCCATATAAAAGAGTTTTTGTAACAAATTAAAGTCATTATCTAAATTTTTTTATAAGTTTTATGTAGACATTTAAATAATTCAAATCGCATATAGGTGTAAAAAGTTAGCCTCATTTAAAGTTTGAAATTACTGTTTATTATACCATAAATACTAATTTGGCCTTGCTCTCTTCCTAATTCTAGATATATAAAGCTAGGGGCGATAACACAGGCCATGGTTTATGAGTCTGCTCAAATAAGTTTGAAAAATCTTAAAATTAAGCTTGAAAATTTAAAAAAATTTCTTTAAAAGTCGCCGAATAAGCTCAAATAAATCTAAGCCAATCTCGAACACAAATGACCTTAACCCGAATACCCAAATTCTTTTTTATTATTAATAAATTAATATTAAAATAAGAAAAACAATTAAAAATCTTAACTTTTTAAAATAAAAATTCATAATTTGGCTATTTGGATATTTAGACCTATCTTGAAATGTTAGGACCAAACTTGACTACATAACTTCTTTATATACTCAAGTATTCTAAGCTTGATCCAAAGAAACACAACCTTCAAATTACCAAATAGAGGGAATAACTTAGTATGTGAACACAGAATAGCAAGTCGTTCACTTGATGATCAGTTTAGATATTTCTCAGGTTCGAGTTTGACAAGGTTGTTTTTCCAGGGTGGAAAGATCAAGTACTAAATCATAATGAAAACAAGAACAACTTGAGCCCATTACCAGAGCAACGTGTGTGAGAACCAAAAAGAAAAGCGAAGATAATTCAGCGTGCTCTAGCAGCGTATGCGGCTAATGCCGCAGCGAAAATAGTAGTCACAGAAGAGATCAGAGCCCACAAACCCTTCCTTTTCTGTGCCTCAGCTGCCGAGCTTTCAAGTGATACAAGTTGTTGCCTCATGACTTCCACCATCTTATTCTTGTTCCTGAACGCATTTTTAATAGCATCGAGTTCTTCAGCATATGGCACAAATTCTTCATCAATCTTCCCAATCAAGACCACTTCTTCTACACTCTCATCACTCTTAGAATGGCACACGAGCGCGGCAGTATTCTTCAACAGCGCCAGCGTCTGGTTTGAACATTCAATCTTAGCCCTTAAATCATCAGAGTTTTGTTGAGCATTCAGAAGGCTCTGCTGCAACACATCGTTCTCCTTCGCCAAACTGTTCACACGGCTTTCCATCATCTCATTCCTCTGAATCAGCTTGTCCCTTTCACTTCTCATCTCCCCTAATTCTGCTGCAGTTTGTTCAGTTTTGTCCTTCAATTCAGCAACCTCCAAAATCAAGTTCTTCACTCTATCTTTCTCCTCGTCAAATCCCCTCTTGATATTATCCCTCTTAGTAACGGCTTCTTCAGCAGTATTTCTATAGCGGTCAACTTCAGAAAGCAATTGCCTGTTCTTCTCTTCCAAGTCTCTGCATGACTCCTCCAACTTGTGCATTACATCCTTCAGTTGATCCTTTTCACTGTTGAGCTCAGCGATTTCATTCTCCAGGCCAACTTTCGCCTGCTCAGTCTCGGTTTTCCCTCTAATTGCCTCATCGACGATGTGCTGCTTCTCCTCCACTTCTTTTTGAACCACGTCCAGAACCTCGCGTAAACTATCTCTTCGCTCCGTTAACATCTTAATGCTCTGTTCATTCCCCTTTATGTCCTTCTGCAAGGCATCGATCTCCATTTCCATAGTCTTGATCTTTTCCAACGCCTGAGCAAGATTCTTTTCATACTCATTAATGTTCTTACGCATAATCGTCTCTTCCTCCCCACTATTATTGAGAGACTCGTTGAGTTTGCTCAACTCTAACTCCAGGCCAATGATTTTCTGTTCTTGTGCATTTTTTTGCTCCTCGGACTCGCACTTGGCCCTCGTAATTAAGCCAATCTCTCCCTTTAACTCCTCAATCAACCTGGCAGACTCTGCCGACTTTCTCAGAGCAAAATCTCTTTCCGCCGTCAATTCTCTAATCGCTCCTTCTTTCTCATCTTTTTCTTCCCTCAACTTCTCACCGTCTATCATTAGCTTCTCAAGATCGTTCCGAAGATATCTCTCTGTTTTCTCCGCTTCAATAACTCTCTCCTTCAATCGATTTGCCTCATCAACCAGACCGTCAAAATCAAATTTCAAATCGTCCTTCTCCCGGCTCAGCCTACTCAACTGGTCCCTCTCACTTTCAAGACGTACCGTAAGCTTACTCAGTTCTCCTTTCAACAAAGCAATCTCAGCATCCCTCTCAGTCTTAGCAGACTCAATCTCATTTCTCTGAGCCACAAGTCTATGGAAGCGAGAATCTATTTCCCTCACCTGGGTCTGCACGTAAACGAGAACCACAGCTTTGTCCAAAAGCAAGCCCACATTATCGCCTGCCGTCTCAGAGAGCTGAGACTCTAGTTCTCTCTTCTCCATGGCAGAACGGCTGAAGGCGGATTCCAAGGCCTCTTTGTCCTGAATGAGCGAGTCAACTTGTTGGCGGCGTTCAGCAGTCTCCTTGAGAAGAATGGAGTTGAGGTTCTTGAGGCTCTCAAGCTTATAAAAAGGATCATCTATATGGGTAGATTGGTGGGAATGGGAGTTTTGGGTGTGAAGATAAGGATGAGGGGCATCGTGTTGATGTAGATTGTGGTCATGGGGTTGAGGGTGGGACATCTTCTTTTTGGCCATATCTGGAGAAAGTGAAGAATGCAATAGGAAGATGATTAGGGTTTTCTTAGGGTTTTATGGTGGAAACGTGAGAGGCGGAGATAAGAAAGATAAAGAGGCGGAGACAGGGCTTTGAATGAGAGCAAGTGTAGCGGATGGGTGTTTGTATTTCCATTTTCTCAAAATTCAAAATTTGGGAATTTGAGTGGTTGGCCGCCCAGAAATCTATGGAATGACTATGAGTAATGGCCCTCGCCTGTTTTCTGCGGCTGGGCGCATGGTTTTCTTTGGGACAACGATATCTAGGACCCACTCAAGAAATTTTTTTTCTCAATAAGGGTCTATATTAGTTGTTGTCTTATAGATATATATACACATGCATTATCATCAACTTCAATATATATCTACAAATTGTATAAAATAAATTTGATTTAATTGGTCACAACTCTCTTTTCTTCCATTAATCAATATACATTGGTATAATGTTAACTATTCTATTTCCTTGGTCCATTAATTTTTATATAATCAATTTAGTTTTAGTCAAATATTAATATTATTTTTTTATTAATTGATGTGATTGACTATTTTTTCTTATTGGTTGATATAATTTAATTTATTTTTTACTTATTTTAATTAATTTTTACCTTTTTATGAGACAAGAGTATTCAATTCTATTTTAATTTTTCCTTGAGTCATATATCACAAGAACATTAACTATGTTGTTTCCCATACTCTCAAGTCCCGTTAGAGAGTTTTTGTTTTCAATACATAATTATCTTTGCATCTCTCAGTCTCATATGCTCTAATTAATAATTGATCAGCCGTTCTCCTAGATGGATTTATTGCCGACGGTGGAGAGCTAGGCGGCTATAATGGAGGAGTTTCACGCCTCTTTTCGCCAATGTCAGGGAGAGGATGTCGGGTTCATCCATATACTTCCTGAAGAATTTGAATCTTGTAGCTTAATTTGATTGGTTAAAAAATTTGACTCTCATTAGTAAATAAATTTTAAACTAATGTTAATGTGAAAATTTTTCTTGATTCATTCATAAGATTTAATTTATTTTTTTATTTTTATGTATTTTCAGTCTACTTTCATGGGAATATTGATTTAAAAGTAGTCTCATTTTAAAATTTTTCTTATTGCTAGCATTAATTTCATCTGGCTATCCTTCTTCATTTATTGTACTTTCACATACCTTTTCAATTTTCCTAATAAATGAGATTTAATTTATTTTCTCATTTTTCATGCATTTTTAGTCTATTTTTGTGAGATTATTAATTCAAGAGCAGTTTCATTTTTAAATTCTTCTGATTGTTAGCATTAACTTCATCTGACTATCCTTCTACATTCACTGTACTTTTTCATACCTTTTTAATTTTCCTAATCAATGACATTTAATTTCTTTTCTTGTTTTTCATGTATTTTCCTAATTCATTTTATTCAATATCAATCAACTATCATCCATAAATATTATTTGTCAAAAGGGAAAAAAATAAAGAGAAGTTTAAGTTTGATTTGAATCATCAATCCTTATTTCGTGATCTTGGCCCTTGAAACTGTGCATGTTTCACCATACATTTCACATTGATAAAATAACACGGTGACTTTTCATCTTTTCACATCGAAGAAGCAAGGCAGAAATGATTCAGTGGGCGATACATATTCAATTCTTTAAACATACATACATACATAAGAAAAAATATATCACTTTCCTTCTTGGTGAGGAAGATAAGAGTCTGCATGCTTATGCATTTTAGGCTCAAATCCTTATCTTCCTTCTAACCTTTTAATACTTATATTTATATTTATAATGTTGATAAAGATTAAAAAGGTTTAATAATTTAAAATATTAGCAATAAATTTTAAATATAGCCAAAACCAAGATATGTACAAGTAAAATATTCAAAAAGAAAAATAATTGAATGGAAGAACTTTCAAAAATTTAGCTATCTCAGATTATTAATATCAATTGTATTGATGATATTTGTTTCAAATTCCTTAATTCCAACTCATACAACGTACAAGAAACTGTCTAATTATTATTAAAAATTGGATCCTAACTTGTTAATTGTTTAAAGAAATCCTAATAAAGAATGTAAGTTAGATGTATAGTTTCTTCCAATACAATATTTGATGAAAAAACTTGTGGATCCTTACTAGAATAAAATCCTTTGCGGGGGCCTTAAATGCCATTCTTTTTTTCCCCACAACTTGGACGGGTCTAGATATACGAACTATGGATGTGTTTAGATGTCAATTCACAAAAAATAATTAACAACGCGTGATAGTGTTTGAATAGTATTTTTTGAAATTGATTTTGATAATAAAAAATGTTTGGATATTTTTTCAAAATTAATTATAAAAAATGAGGGAAAATGAAAAATACTCAGATGTTAAGAAATGATTCTTAAATGTAGAGTAAATTTGACATTTGCAATATTTAGAGAGTATTTTCCTACTTTTCAAATGTAAGATGATGTTTGGATACTTTATAAATATACAAACTATCAATAAAAATTAATTTAACTGATAAGAATTTGATTTATAACATCACGGTATTAAATTTTGCTATTGCTGTAATGATCTTTTAATAGGCAATTTATAAATATTTTTATAAGTGTTTTTTAAGCCTGAATGTATGTCCTCACCTTGGCACTTTATAAATATTTTTATAAGTGTTTTTTAAGCCTGAATGTATGTCCTCACCTTGGCAATTTATAAGTATTTTTTAAGCCTGAATGTATGTCCTCACCTTGATAAAATCTCGGTACCCAACTCACCCATCAAAAAAATATATATATATAAATATGCAAACTGACTCTCTTTCATTTACATTTGATCCGCTCGACTGCCTTCAACTTAACGCGACGGTTCCTTCTATTATTGCCTATTTACTTTGATGTCCAATTATAAACTTGCAAACCTTTCATTTGCCACTCATATAAATAGGCACTGATGTTATATATATATATATATATATATATATATAATTGTAGAAAATTCGTATTACAGTCACATAAGGTTCTTTTACTTTATCTATTTTATGATGGGCCTGGATCAGTATACTTTTGGATTGAAGTGCGCTTCGTAATTTAAGCCCAGCCCACCCAGTAAACGCAGGGCATCCATTCCAGCTCCGATATCAAAGTGCCTCGGGCATTGTAGCTCCGGCTCCAGGCTCTTGTACGTCACGTAAATGCATGCAATTCTCATAGTACTAATTATTGTTTTGAAGGGGTGCGTTTGGGTATGACTACTTTGACATTCCAAATGTGATTTTTAGCTTTTGAAATGTGGAATGTTGTTTGGGATGTTTTTTTTAGATGGGATGTGCTTTGCAAAATGACTTCCAAATGAGTCTGAAATGAGAAAAATCAAAAGCTCCTCAATGTAGCTTTTGAAACGTGATCTATGGCAGGGCTGATGTCTAATATTTTAATTCACCATGATACCCTCATATTTTTTATTTCTTCTCGCGCAATCGAGGCTGATTTTCTTTTGTCATTTTGCTGCTCCTCTCATCTCGCTCCTCCGTCGCTCGTCCATCGCTAGTCCGTCGGCCGGCCATCTTTTCTCCAACTCTTCCTTCCTTCCTTCCTTCTCAAGCTCGCTTCTATACCTTGATGCATGCCACTATGGAAGTTCATGTCGTTACTGATATCGTCGTCACAGTAGCCAAGGTCTCGTCGGCGGATGACGGCATTGTCTTCGTTGAGGATGACATTTTTGCGTGGTTATTGATGGGCCACGATAGGTCTAGTGTTGAGTTGCTAAATCTGTTGGAGGACGTGAAAGATACGATGGTGGAACCGGCGAGTAAAATGGGCGGAGTGAGGTTCATCGATGACTCGTATTCTTCGCTTTTAGTTTCAGTCCTCCTCCTCGTATATCACCATAAACAGCAATGAGGAGAGTTGAAGGTCGTCGTTCTCCAATTCGGGCGCGTCTGTGATGGCCAGCGTCGACACCAACGAGTTGAGAAGGAAGCTTGTGGGTTCAGTGGAAGTCAGCTGGGTAGGGAGAGAAGCGAATGAACTGACTTTTGAAATAATTTTTATTCGTCTCTTTTCCAGTTCATGCATGCGAAATATTAAATAATTTTTTTATTTTTAATATTTAACATTTTAAATTTTTTTAAATATTTTTAATATATTAGATTTGTATAATAAAAATTATAAATTATCATAAATTAATGTCCTTTTTGGTCATTGCATATTAAAAAGTACATTTCAAAAGCACAAATTTTATTAATCCAAACAACTTTCAGTTTGCCAAACTGACTTTTGAAAAAATTTATCCAAACACAAATTTCATTACAATAACTGACTTTTACCAAATGAACTTTCATCAAACTGACTTTTGATAAATTGAAAACCAAACACACACTAGTACTCTGTACTTCCCCTGCTCTTATATTTGCAAGATTGCGAATAGAGGTTTTTTTTAAGAAATCTTTTTTACAGGAAACGTCATCATTTTTTTACTCTCTATTAAATATTAACTAATAGTAAAATAATATGTTATTAAATTATATATATTTAATAAAAATAAAATTAAAAACTAATTGATGAATATAAATGGAGGGAGAGGGGAGACACAAACTCTATAGAGCGATGTTGTGGTCTTTTTTTTTTTTAAGAGTAGAAGGCCACGAGATTAATCTATATAGATAAACAACTTAAGTCTTATCAGCGAACAGAATATTCATACAATCAGAGGGCATATTATCAAAAATCTAAACATTTAAATTATTGATAGATACTAAATGAACCATTCAATCAACACATTTATTAGCTTTTTTAAAAATGTGATCAAAGATGATCGTCTAATCCCTCATAGTAAGTTCTTTAATGTTATTAATAGCTGTAGTAAGAGAATGATTAGTGAAAAACTCTTTGCATATAAGCGTGAGTACCTTTGTAAAGTCTGTGTAGACATTGATTTTGTTAAACTTCATTGCTTAACAAATGTTGAGACCTCATAAATAAGTTTAACTGCCGTACTTAATTGATAACCGATGTGTTTGGTAAAGTTTTTGATCTAATTTCTTTGATCATTTTGAATGAGACTTTTACAAGAAGCCGCACCTTCTAGGATGATTAGCCACACCTTCTAAGATGTTGTGGTCTTTAGATAATGTGGAATCTGTTGTGCTGGAACCTCATCCTTAGAGACACCTGCCCCAACCCTATTAAATTAGATAATCCTAATTTAATAATTGATATTTTCATTATTCAATCCGATTGCCTCCCCA